TATTTCGAACAATTTTTTAAACATAAAAGAACCAGGAGCTATTATCACTCATAATAGCAATCAAAAAAAGCACACACTAAAGGGATCGCTCTTCCCAAAAAATTTAGACTCTAGATCCTGCACTGTATAAGTTAATAATTGAAGATTAATTAAATTTTTGAAAAATTAAATATTAAAAAATTAATTATTTTGAATAATTAATATTATTGAATAGTAATTTACGAAAACGACCAATGTAATAAAATTTAGAACGATATTTTTTATTGATTCAGGAAAATTGAATTTTTTAATTAAAATTAATAATCGTTGAAAATTGAAAATAATACAACTTTTATTGACAATTCGATATTTCAGTTTTTTTAGATTTTAAAAATGCATAAAATTTTCAATAATAATAATAAATCAAAATACAATAAATATTATCAATTATAATTATAAATAAAAAAAAATAATAATAATAATAATAAGATATACGAATAAAATTTGTTTTTAAGTTATTTTGAGATTTTTATTTAACAAAATAAAATGAAATAATATAAATGATTTAATTAAGAAGAAAATTTTAATTAATAATTAGAATTTACCAATCTACAGTTTTTTTTCCACTGAAAACGGTAACCTCTCGCCTGATACCAGATATTTTTCCACGATTTTTCAAACACAATAATTCTTGTCACAATTTAACGTTTTTTAAAAACACCCGCACTACCGCATAACATAACATCGGAAATGTCAAAACATCACGAAAAATATAAACAAACAAAAAAATCATGATAATAATTCGCAAATGATAACTAACAACTAACTTCATACTGCGAACGGACAGAATGAAAAACCACAGACTTTAATAAAGTTAATTAGGAAAAAATTGCTTTAAAATAAAATTTGTTTATTTCAAATATAATTAAAATTTTTAAATTAAGAAAAAATTAAAAATTTCGTTACCGATAAATTTCAATGAAGAAAGAAAAATAAAAAAAACTTGCAGTTCAAAATAAAAACAAGAATCAAGAAATTACGATTAAAAAATCGTTCGACGTAAAAAAGAAAATTACAAGAAACGAAAATCGATATCAATTCAGGCATTTTCTGAAGGCAATTTCGCAAATGGGGCACTGGTGCAATTTTCGTAACTATTTTGGCCTTTTTTAGTGTTTCAAAGCCTAAGGCTCAAAGCTAAAGGGTCACGATCTCGAGAATGTCTCGAGCTTTGTCAGAGGTCCTCCTCTTCTTCTTTTTTTTATTTTTGCTCTCTTCTACCTTCTCCTTAATATTTTTTTTCTCTTTCTTTTTTTTCCACATTTTTCTGGTATACACTATATTTTGAACTCATCGTGGCAGTGTGAGCCTCACAATGCGGGCTATAAGTGGGCGATGTCCAGGTATAAATATAAAGCTAGTAATAATTTTATCTCCATTTATTGCCCAAAAATGTCGAGACAACAATGAACCTTTTTCTAGAGTTATAAAATATGAAATTACATTCAATATTTCTTAGATGCAATTTTTCACTTAGCTCATAAACATCTCTCTTTCAGCTAAATAAAATATTTAAATCCAAAAAGTGAATATAAAGAAGGAATAAATTTTGCAAATGAACAATCGACATTTTACATTTCTTTTTGAGTGACATTTTCCACTTTTAAATATTCAAAATTTCACTATCCGTATTTGTCTTGGACAGTTTCTTCAACTATTATTGGTTCACGGAAATTTTCCAGCTATAAAATCAATTATGTAAACTGTAAAATACTTTGTTTGACAGTGTTCTGTAATGAATTTTGTATTTTAGTCCATTATGGAGTGACTGATGTGCATTATTAGTGACAGAATTCACCTCAGTATTTATGGACCCGAAGGTTCTTGAACTCCGCGACGCCTTGTAAAATGTTCCATCTCCGAAAATAATATTACAACTAGGAGTTTAAAAAAGATATTAATTTTTAATAAGAATTCAATAATTAATGACATTTATCAAGTTCCTTAATTAAATTTCAATATTCTGTTTATGAATAATTTACCGTCTCTATTGTAATTTTCAGAATTAACTTTTTAATTCAGCGAATAAAATCATTCCTATTAGTTTAAAAAATAATTGTATCTGCAATTTTATGACTTTGATTTTAATATTTTACTGTCCAAATTAATTTCAAAAGTAGTTTAAAATTAATTTTAAATTTATATTGAAATTAATTTTACTGTCAAAATTAGTTTGAAATTAATTATAGAATTAGTTTGAACAAGGAAAAATAATTTCCAAGTAAATAAATATTTAATTTACTTTTCTTTTAAATTAAAAAAATATTATTTTTTAAAATATTTATATACAGACAAAATTTTCTGCTCATTTTAATATTCAAAACTGAAGGGAAATAGTTCGAAATTAGGTTCACTGTCAGAATTTCAATATAATAAATACTGAATAGCAAAGAAATATAATTTAAAAAAACCCTTAGTTTTAAGAAAACATTTTTAAAGCAATTATTGACAAAAATAATATTAACATAATATCAGTGTTTTATTTGAGTCCCTAGTTTTGATTTACTTTTTTTATTGTCGGCTATATTTCCTGTCAGTAATTCAGATTTCCGAAAGATATGATAAAAGCCCGGACATAAATAATAAAGATAAGAAAAATCGTAGAATACTTTTATTTGCGCTTGAATTTCTATAATGCAATAGAGCCTAAATAAAGACCGCATTTTACTTTTTATAGTCCTTGAGGTATAATTTCATTTAAGAAATTAGTTTTCGGTTTTCTCTCAAACCTAATTATAATATTGTCTTTTTTTAATTAAATATTTTACGTCTTTCGTGTTTATTAATTAAAAAATTGTCTTCTTTTTATTATTTTACGTCTTTCGTTTTATATTTACTACAGTTTTATTAAACTACTATTATTATATTTTTTATTCCTTTTAAAGAAAACATTTCTCGAATGCACCAATTTATGAATACCTATATTAAATTTTTCTGGAAAATTGAAATTCAATCTTTTAAATTGAAATGAGAGAATCTTCTCTCTCATTCTGAAATCTATTACGAATAAATGGAAGTGACATAGAATAAAAAAGACCTTGAAACATGGAAAGTTATATCTCGATCGAGATTATATGCATGTCGCCATAAACATTAAAGAACGAGTTTCTGGAACCATATATGGCCCGTCTTTGAAAGTCGGGCCAACACTGACTTTTTTTTTATTTATTTATATGCTTTAATAGTTGCAATTTAATAAAGAATACTTTGTAAACAAAGAATCAACCATTCAAGGAAACTATTGCCATTTATCTCAAACTTTCCCTGTCTGTCAAAATTTTCTTCTCTTATTGCATTAAAGGCAAATAAAAAACTATTCCATGTCTTAGACAATTTTCCGGAAAAATTCAATTATTTTAATAAATAGTAAAATTGATCCCAGGAATTCAAATATTTTCAATACATGCAATTCTTGTCAACGATTTAACTATTTTTATAAATAGTACAATTCTTTGAAAGAATTGAATTTTTTTTATAAATGAAAGAATTCTTCTCAAAAATTCAATTATTTTCAATACAATTTTAATAAAATTTCTCGTAAGGATTTATCTATTTTGAAAAACTAATAACATTTTTCTTAAGAATTCAATTACTTTTAAAAGGTTTGGTAAATTGTTTTATAAGATCAAATGTTTAATTAACAGACATGATTATTATAAAGAGTTGAAATTAATTCTTCCTAAAATTCAATTATTTTCAAAATTTTCAATCAAATTTATTAAAAAATGCATTATTTTCATAAAACTTAAAGAAATTCTTTAAAAGAATTTAAGTATTTACGAAAACATTAATAAAATTTTGTAAAAGAATTTAATTTTCTATTAATAATTTTAATAAAATTTAATCGTAGAATTCTTAATTACTATTATTAATAAAATCAATTTAAAAAATTTAAAAATTTTAGAAAGAATTTAATTATTCTCAATATTTTAATACAATTCCTTGAAATATATTTTAATTATTATTAAAATTCTCAGAAGAATTTATTTATTATCTAAAAATCAGAATAAAATTGAATAATCAAATGTTCAATTACAATTATTATCAATCACGATTATATTTTAAAAACTTGAAAGAAATTCTTCATAAAATTCAATTATACTTTCAAACCTTTAAATTAAAATTATTAGAAAAACTATTGTTTCAAAAATACTGAATTATTTTCCAGAATAATACAATTTTTCGAAAGAATTCAATGATTCTTAACATGTACATTAACTTTTAAATTTGTTTTTTTATTTAAATTATTCTCTAAAATTATAAAAGTTTATTTTACGAAAATAAAAGTAGTGCGTAGTATTGTTGAAATTCTATTGTCAAAAATATAAAAGAATTGGGCCAAATGAAATGAAAAATAACTTTTGAAAATATTGTTAAAGTTTCGAGTGCCATGTGAATTTATTTTACGCAAATAAAAGAAATGCGTAATAGTATTAAAATTCTATTGTCAAAACTATAAAAGAATAAGGTCAAATTACATGAAATATAACTTTTGGAAATATTGTTAAAGTTTCGAGTGCCATGTGAATTCATGCTCAGTCACGTCATCTGTCAAACTTTGTTTTCACAAGTTTCCATAAAAGTCAGAAAATTATATTCAATTTGCTTAATTTGAAAATTTTGCAAAAAAAAAAGAATAATTGTCCTTTCTCAAATTAATAGGATTAAAGAATTTCCAATACGAACATTACTGTAAATATATTTATTGTATTTATAAAAAAATTTACTGAGATTGTATATTTTGTAATTGATAATAAATATCAAATATCGATTAAGGAGGAAAACAAGATATATAATAAAATTTGAAAAAGAACATTGAGAGACTATTTTCGTTGCTTTACTTATCAATAAAATTCGTTTTTAAAAATTTCGTAAACTATGCAAAAATAATAATAATTTTGCATATTTGAAAAAAAAAGTAAATTTACTAAAATCTTTAATAGAATTGAAACGAAGCTCACCTGTTGAAGGTTTGTTCGTATTGCTTGATCTCTCGTCTTGTAAGTTCGTGGAATTCGGTATAGACGTTGACGAATTTGTAATGTTTTTTCACCTCTTTGCCATCTTCTAGATCCTCGTTAATCTTTTGGCGCCGATTAAGCAGGTTGCTAAGCTCAGCGTCAGCTGGCATCCTTTTTTCCTTTTTTTTTTGTTTATATAGTTTTCAAGGTCAAGGTCAAATACAAAAAGCGTCACTCCTCCTCCTCCACAAATGAGGACCTTCGAGAGCTCGAGTGTGGTTCCTATCGATTAGATTCCTGATGGCAAGTGCGAAGAATTCAAATAAATATTTTCAACTCCCTTCTATTGAAAATGAATCGATGAAATTTAATTTCAATGAGTGAAACAAGTTTTATATCACTGCTTATAACTTCCTTCAATGTCTAGATGAACTGTCAATCTTGTTTTCTGTTTGAAGGGATGTTTTTCTATAAAAAGAGTCAAACGACTGGAATCCGACGTCTGTACAGTACGGTAAGCGCGCGTGGACTGAATCTCGGCAACTGTCGGTCGACCCGAACAAACTAAGGCTAACAATAATAACCTACCGCGGGATTCGTGCTTTCATTCCAAACTATTTCCTGAAAATTACAAATGTTTTTAATACACTATTTACAAAAGGAGATTTAATTTAAAAAATTTGTTTTCATTTTATTTTTACTAAATCAAATTGATTTCTTTTATAATTAAATTTTTTAATTGATAATAAATATCTATAATTTTATATAGGTAAATATATTAATAAATATATTAATAAATATTTATTTAAATATATTAATAATAATTAATAAATAAAACTGTATTTAAATATTTTGTTTTTGTGAACAATGTTATTATTCTAATTGATAATAAAAATATGAATCAAAACAAAATTAATTTGAATTATTTATGTGTACATTGGTGACTCATAGTGCAAGTTCATTCTGATAACGTTTCGTACCCTACAATAATTTACATACGAAGAAGTATAATACCGAACCCTTTTGGCTTTGTCTGACAGTAATTGATAAAGGATGAATCATTATTAGCTGGACAGCCAACACTTTGATATTCAAAACTAAAATAGTATTTTAAATTTCGCATTTTAATATTTCAGAAAATAAAAATATTTATTCAACTCATTTATTTCAATTATTTTTTCAAAAATGTATAAATTAAATTAAATAATTTAAAAATTAAGTAAAATCAAAGTAAATAAACTTTGATAGTCAAAACTTTGAATTTATTATTTTCTATTTCAAAACTATATTTTAAAAACTTTAAAATCTTTACATTTTAATATTTCAAAAATTAAAAATATTTATTCAACTCATTTGTTTTGATTACCTATTGTTTAAAAAATGTACAAATTAAATAAAATAATTCAAATATTTTGGAAAATAAAAATATTTATTCAACTCATTTGTTTTAATTATTTTTTAGAAAATGTATAAATTAAATAAAATAATTTAAAAATTAAGTAAAGTCAAACTTTGAATTTATTATTTTTTATTTCAAAACTTCATTTTACAAACTTTGAAATTTTTACATTTTAATATTTCAAAAATTAAAAATATTTATTCAACTCATTTGTTATGATTATTTTTTTAAAAGTGTACAAATTAAATAAAATAATTCAAATTCAAATATTATTATATCATTTAACTTTAGCTTTTTAATATTTTAAAAATTAAAAACATTTATTCAATTTATTTGTTAATATTTTCTTAAAAATGCGCAAATTATTTAAATTATTTAACATTTAAATAAAATATACCTAAATGTTAAATAAATTCCATTTTGATACAAAATCGGTGGCAAATATTATTCTTAATGGCTAAAAATTCCAGAAAATTAATAAATAATCTAAATTAATAGTAATAAAATGAATAAAATTAATTAACGTGCGTTATTTCAGTTATTGTGCAAAAAAAGATTCACAAATTGAAGTAAACACTACAATAAAAATATGCATAATTTAAACGATTTAAATATAAACTGTGAAAGTACATTTACCTCTATATGACATCGCCTTTTATATTCTTTAGAATTAATTATTAACATTTTTCCGATTTTTCCTAATCCTTTTGAGCGGATAAGCATTATTTTGAGGTTAGAATTTCAACGGCTTAGCGATCACTTTCCGTCACTTGTGATAATTATTATAAATTACAGAACAAGGGATTAATTTAAAACGAAAAGTTTAATGTTAAATTAAGTTTACTTTTTAGAAAAAAGCACTTTTGTTAATTTTTAAAACACTTTTCTTCTTCATTGTGTTCACTGTTATTATTGTTATTGTTAATCCGCCATTTTGTACTTTATAACCGCAGGGCTGCCAAATTTATTTTTTACATTTTTTACATTGTCAGGTTTTTTCATGTTAAATTTAAAATTGCTGAGAGAAAAAATTAATTATCTCCTTTTAAAAAAAGAAACTCTTTTCTAAAGCTCAAAATTAATTATATAAAGTACAAAAAATACTGATTAATAATTTATAAAATACAAAAGCAAAATATTTTCATGCAAAAAATATTTATAATTAATTTACAAAAACTGGGGAATCACAAAGAACTTGACCTCTTGAACTCTTCTCAGTGCGTGCAATATAGCACGAATTTTAAAAAAATTGATTAAAGAAAATTCAATTTCTCTTATAATATGGAAATTTATAATAAATTAATTATTATATTATAAATAAATATATTATTATACATAAATTTTTAGTTATTCTTTTATTCATAATTAAAAATTAAAATAAAATCAAGAAAGGAGCAAAAAGCATTTATTTTTTTTTAAGGCATAATTATTAGTAAAATAATATTTTTAAATTAATTTATAAATATTAAATTACATAAACTAATTATTATTAATTTAATCACTTTTTGGAATTATTAATTTTTTGGTCACCCAGTGAATACACATACCAAGTGTCCAAAAAGTAATCTAAAAATTAATTGTATTGCATTTTTAATAAAATAAGTTGTTTTCTGAATTACTTGATAAGTAAAATGAAGATTTAAAATGTTATTTTAATTTGTAGAATTTAAATATAATTATTAATTCCCAATTATAATCAATTATAATTTTAAACAGTTAAACGATTTCTTTCTTATCGACTGAAGAATAAATCTAAGGGCTTAGTGGATAACTTACCGATAGAGGGATATTTAAAAATAGATGTTCAGTCCAATTCAAAATGTTCAAAACAAACTTGTGATTGTATTATTTTACTTAATTTAATCGGAAATAATTGTTTAAAAATGTTAGGAAGCAGCTAACTTGAAAAGGAATTGCTAATTAATGAAGTATTCTTGAAAAATAAAGTTTAGAAAGATTTTTTTGTCAATGGATGTCAAAGAAGAAGTGTTTTCAAAAACATGTTTATAGAGGAATTCAATTTCGTGAAAACGAATGAAATGAATTTATCTGAAAATTTAAATAATAATTAATATTCTAGAGAAGAAATTTATAATTAATGACGTATGCAGGTAATTTTTTTAATTATTATTAATTGGATTATTTAATTCTTTTGCTTTTAATTAACATAACCTAGAAATTATTTTTTTTTACATTGCCTTTATTTATATTTACATAAACAGAGTAAATTTTTCTTTAAATATAATCTATTAAGAATTTGATTCAGGATAAATAAAAATTATCTCATTTTAGTTTGCTTTCTTTCTCTTATTTTAGTCTTATCAAACCAAGAAATTTGATAAGTTTGTTTCGAAAGAAATTGAAGGATTTTCTTTTTGTAAAAAGAAGTAATTTTAATTACTTTTAAATATGGTGGGAATATTTTTTTACCGAAAGAATATAAATTACCAAAGTAGTATTTATTTTTTTCAAAATATATTTAAATTTAAATTGTCTTTATTAATATTAATCGTCTACCTTTTTAAAAAGTTTAACATTTCTTCCTAAAAAATTAATATTGTTTTTAAAAATATATTGCTACCTTTTCTTATTCTCTCAGTAAAAATATTTATAATTCTGAAAGCGAAAATTTTTTTAAAATAAAGATTATTAATAAAAAGTAAACAGTATTAATTTTACACAATGTTTATTTTTATTTTTACATGAAAAAAATTTTTTCAATTAATATTTTATCAAAAAATCAATTTTAAATTATGCTTTATATATTTACAAACAGGGATGATATTAAAAACAAATGTAAACAATTGTAAATGATTTACAAATAATTTTAATATTTTTAATAGAAAATTATTCGCATCTCATTTTTGTACTTAAAATTTTGTTTTGTCAATAAAACTATAATTAAGATCGTTAAATATTTTCCATTTCACATTTTTTTTCTAGTCCATACTACAAAAATTAGATTCTAAAGAACAGTTTTTTTTTGGCTAAACATAAAAACATCTAGTTAACTTATTTTTTTAAGTTGCACACTTGAAACTTAACAAAATTCTACAAAAAAATTTTTTGAACTAACCCATACAAAGAACATTTCTTGTACCTATATCTCATTGCAATCGCATTTATTGTTTTCTAGTTTTGCAGAATAAAACATATTTTATTCTTTTTCATGTACACCAGAAGGAGATAAATTTGTCATTCAGGAAAATTTTCTGAAAAATCAAGTGGCAGTAGTTTGTGGTGGTGGGGTAAGTGGAGTCCAACCTGCAGATTGATCATCATCAGTCGAAGTATCATGAGGCTGCTGCTGATGATGATGGTTATGCCGATGATCAATTACTGTTGTTACAAAGCGACGATCTTCTTCATTGGGAATGTCAACTTCCTCAGGATTATTTGGATTTGGATAAGCAATCTCATGATGATCTTTCGGTGCCTCATATTCTGCTACAGGTGACGATGTTGCTTCACTGTGCGACTGCAGATGAAGCAACTGTGTTTGATGATGCTGATGTGAGTGATTTTGGTGATGATATTCCTAAAATTTTGCAATTTAATCGATAATTATATTTAGTATAATTAAAATTGCAGAGCTCGAACTAGGTCCGTAAAACCAGTAAAAGTCCGTAACTTTGATTGAAGTCCGTAAAATTCAGTTTTTTTTTAAAAAAAAGGTCCTTAAAGTCCGTAATTTGATTAAAAAAGGACGAAAAGTTCGTAAACTGTACGATAAAATTTAGATAATTTTAGAGAAATTACAAATGAATGTAGAAATTCAATTATGTTTGGAAATTTTTTTAAATTCTCATCAAAATTTGAATTACCTTTAGAAATAATAAAATTCTTCTCCGAATTTCAATTATTTTTAAAAATAAAATTGGTAAATAAAATTCTTGGCAAAATTTCAATTATTTTCAAAAATTTTCCTCTATTCAATAATTTTCAACATTTACTATTTTAATAAAATTTTCTAAAAGAATTCAATTATTTAAAGAAAAATTTAATAAAATTCTACACAAACTTTTAATTGTTTTCATAAAATAAAAAATTTTACAGAAATTCAATTGAATCTTGAATTTTGTAAAGGGCTCAACTCTAAAAACCATAAATGTTATTTTTACATAACAAATGACAGTGAAAATGACTCTTACGATTTTTAATCGTAAGCCCTTTTCGAAATTAACGACTCAATTACATATTCACAAATTTTTTATAAATTTCTTCGCAATATTTTTTATAAATAATAAAACTCATTGCTAAATTTTAATTATTTTTAACCCAATTTTAATCAAATTTCTAGAAAAATGTAATTATTCTTAAAAATTTTATTAAAATTCGTCAAAAGAATTCAATTATTTAAAAAAATTTTTGATAAAATTCTTTATGAGAATTCAATTTTAAAGAAATATTCAATTATTTAATAAATTATTTTGTTTGTATTTAAATAATTGAATTCTAGTACAATTTTGTAATAAAAAATTTATTTAAAAATCTGAATTTTTTATATTTTTAACTAACAATTCTGTGGAATTAATTTTTTTGAAAAAGTTTAATTACGGATGTTTTTTTAAATTATTTAAACTTATTATATTCTAATATATATTTAATTGAAGATTTTCCAAATAATTGAAATTCTGTAAAATTAAATTGTAAACAAATGAATTTGAAAATTCTAAAAGAAATTTTTCAAAAATTATTAAAATCGAGCAAATTTTACGCGCGAAACGAGATATTCGGTTTATTGTTCTCATACAAATTATAAAATCTTCAATTATAAATTTTTTAATAATTTCATAATCAAAATTAAAAAAATTCACTTATTAAGTACAAAATTAATTAGTATTGTTTATTTTTTCAGAAATTTGAATATAATTCTTTGCAAGAATTCAATTATTTTCATAAATAATAACATTCTTCGGAAGGATTCATTTATTTTTATAAATAGTAGGTAAAATTTTTTAATAAAATTCAATTTTTTTAAACAATTTTTAATTATTTTTTTAAATAGTAAAATCTTTGCAAAAATTCAATTATTTTCTAAAATTTTAATAAATCCTTCGAAACAATTTAATTTTTTTAAATTTTTAATAAAATTATTCAAAAGAATTCAATTATTTTCTATATTTTAATAAAATTCCTTAAATGAATTTAATTATTTTAGAAAATTGTGATAAACTTCTGAGAAGAATTTAATTATTCGCTCAAATTTTTTGAAAAAATTCTTTGCAGAATTAAATTATTTTCACAAATAATAAAATTCCTCGAAGAAATTCAATTATTCTCAAATGTTTTAATAAAATTCTTTTCAAGAATTAAATGATTTTCAATATATTAATTTTAAAATTGAAAATATTTAAAAAGAAAAATTATTAAAAAAGTTAAAGAAGTAAACAACTATTTTCACAAATAGTAAAACTCATCGCAGAATTTCAATTATTTTTAATACAATTTTAATCAAATTCTACGAAAAATGTAATTATTCTGAAAAATTTTATTAAAATTCGTCGAAAGATTTCAATTATTTAAAAATTTGTTGATAAAATTCTTTATGAGAATTGAATTTTAAGAAACATTCAATTATTCAATAAATTATTTATTTTTGTATTTAAATAATTGAATTCTAGTAGAATTTTTTAATACAAATTGATTTTAAAATGAATTTCAGTTAAAATTTTAGATAATAATTGATATTGTTCTTAAAAAAAACTCTTTAAAACAAATAATAGATAATAATTGAATATATGAAGAAATATATTGTGATTTTTCGAAATAATTGAATTTTGAAATTAATTTTTTTTTTTAAAGTTTAATTGAATTCATTTTTATTATTTGAACTTTTTATTTTCTAATATATATATTTAATTGAAAAATTTACAAATAGTTTGAAATTTCGTAAAATTGAATATTGTAAAGAAATGGATTTGTAAATTCTCAAAGAACTGTTTGGAAAATTATTAAAAATATAATTGATTTAAAGAAGAATTTTTGTTTAAAATTCTTGAAAATAATAATTGAATTGATAATGATTTTATCACTCGGTCATCTTCAATTATTATAAAACATGAAGAAATCGATCACTTCGAGTCGAAGACTCGGAGTTATCGATATCTTCATGTTTTATAATTATGAAAAAATTTAATTTATAGTTTTAAGTAAAAGTTCTCTAATTTGACTCTGACTAGTTATATTTTTGACAGTAATTGGTCCTTAATTTTTCATTATTGGCCCGTAAAGTCCGTATTTTTAAATACTTTCACTGGTTCGAGCTCTGAAATTATTAAGAGGTGAAATAATAATTGAAATAATATTTTTTAGAGAATGATCTGAACCTGTTGATATTCATGCGAAGGTGGAATAATTCCTGGCGGCGTGCCCGTTGAATGAAGAGTCTGGTGTAAGCCGTGAGACGCTGCGGGATATGAGGAAATTTGGTGATGCAAATGAAGATTGAGATTCAAGTACGATTGCTGTTGCTGTTGTTGAATTTGATCGGACACAGAGGACGGATGAATCCAAACGGACGAGTCTGAACAGTGATTTTGTTCATGAGGAGAGGGATTACAACCTGAAGGAATTGTTGGAACGTATAAAGTACAAGCAGCGGTTGTAGCTGACGTTGTGATACAGCCGTGTCTACCTAGAGCTGAATGTGGATAAGAAGCTGCCGAAGGTGAAGTTGGCGATGGAGACGGTGATGATGGCCACTCTGGAGCCAGGGAGGAATTCAAAGATGAAATTTGCTCGGGACTCCTGGGTGACCATCCAGTTGCGGCAACGTACGCTGCTGAATGGAGAATTGGCACCGGACTGTAAGGATCCACATGCTGTTCTTTAAAATGAAAAATATTTTATTAATATTACATAATTATTTAATTCGAATATAATGTCGAATATTTAAAAAAATATTCTATTTACAGGCCTCGATTAATACGAATTTTTTACTTTTTTCGACTATTTTCAAAAAATGCGACTCTTTTCGACTTTTCTTTCACATTTTGCAAAAAGATACAATTTTCTTTTGTATAAAATGCTTATTTTGATTTTCAAAGGTGAAAAATAACTTTAATTCTTTTTGTTAGTCTTTTAGTGCATAAATTATACTTTTGTTCTAAAAATTCAAAATTATCATTAATTAAAATAAGTTTTTTAAATTTAATTTTTAATATTTTCAAAGAACTTTATAAAAATTATTTAAAATAATTGATTTAAAGAAAATTCTTAATTGAAAATTCTGGAAAATAATTGAATATCGGAAGTTATAGTAAAAATGTTTAGAAACAATAAAATTTCAAAATTCTGAACAATACAGATATTCGAAAAATTTCAATTGAAATTTTTTTTGAAATTAGTTGTATTTCTGAATATATAATTGGAAATTTTTTGAAAAATCTAAATTTGATATCATTTGATAGAAAATACTAAAATTTAAAAATTGTATTTTAAGTGAACTTTCACATTTTTGAATAATTCAACTCTTACAAAAACCTAACGAAAATTATCAAAAATAATTTACTTTAGAGAAAAGAATTTCAGTTAAAATTTTTAGAATATAATTTAACGTCATAAGATCTATAGTAAAAATTTTAAGAAATAATTAAATTTGAAAAGATTTCAAATTGAAATTTTTGAATATTTAAATTTTGAATAATTTCAATTAAAAATTCTAAATAACTTAGTTCTTTGAAATGTTTCAATTCAAATTTTTTGATATTAGTCATCTCTTGGAAATTTTTTGTGATTTTTCCAATATATTTTGATTATTCGAAAATTATTATTTTCAAATAAAGAAAATTTTGACAAAATTGAATTGAAAACAGTTGAACTTCGGACGTATTTCAAGTGAATTTTCCTTTTTTTGAATAATTCAATTTTCAAAAGTATTAAAGGTAACAAATTTAAAAAAGAATTTCAGTTAAAAATTCTAGAAAATAATTTATGTTAGAGTAGAAATTTATCATAAAATAGTTTAAAAATTTTAAATTTAGTAGAAATAATTAAATTGCAGAAGGTTTTAACTTAAAATATTTTGAAAATTTCAATTGTTGTAGTTAAGTTTATTTATATTTAAATATTTATTTTGAAAAGTAATACAAATTTTGACTAATTTTTGTCAAAAATTCTAGAAGATAATTAAAGTTTAGAAAAGTAACAAATATATTTTAGAAGTAATGAAACTTCAAAATATTTGAAATTTTTTAAAATTTTATCTTCTGTGAAAAAATACATTACTTTAAGTACTTAAATATTTATTTACTGTATTGAAATATTTTATTTATTAAACTACAGCAAATGTTCAAAAATAAAATAATCAAAAGTTAAAAAATTTACTTATTAAGTACAAAATTAATTATTATTGTTTAAATTTTCAAAAATTTTAATATAATTCTTCGCAAAAATTCAATTATTTTTATAAATCGTACAATTTTTTGTAAAAATTCAATTATTTTTTGTAAAATTTTAATAAATCCTTCTAAACAATTCAATTATTTTTATAAATAGTAAAACTCTTTGCAAGAATTCAATTATTTTCAAAACAATTTTAAATGAATTACTAAGAAGCAATCAATTTTTTAAAAAAATTTTAATATACTTCGAATAAATTCAATTATTTTCAAAACAATTTTAATTGAATTCTGCGGAAGAATTCAAATATTTTCAAATATTTCCATAAAATTCAATTATTATCTCCTAAAATTTTAATAAATTCTTCGAAACAATTCAATTATTTTTATGAATACTATAATTCTTTGCAGGAATTAAATTATTTTTAATACAATTTAAATAAAGTTACAGGAAAGAATTTAAATCTTTTCAAAAATTTCAAATTTTTCAAAATAGGTTTACAAAATTTTTATATGAAAATTAAATTACTTTCAATGCAATTTTTAAACATATTCGTCAAATAAATTGAAAGAATTCAAATATTTCCAAAAAATAATAAAATTCTTTTGATGAATTCAATAAAATTCTTTACAGAAATTCAATTATTTTTGAAACAACTTTAATTGAATTTCAATATATTTCCATATAAAATTCTCTAAAAAATAGTGTTTTTGAAGAGAAATGGGAAAAATTTTGAAGAATTGTTTTGAAGATAATTGAATTTTACAAAAACTTTGAAATTAAGTCATTATCGAAATAAGGGAAAAAGCTAAAAAACTTTTTTGATAATAATTAGAGAAAAGTCAAGAAAATACAAAATATAGTTTTTGTTACAATCCGGAAAAAATTTTTCTCCTGAAATTCGATCCGAGGCCTGTATTTAGTATTTAATTTAATATATAGGATTTATTTAATTTAATAATTTAATATACTATTTAATTCTATCTAATCTATAAATAAAATATTCTATTCGAATATTTCTTCAAATTAAGATTTGATTTCTTCAAAATTTAGTCTATTCTTTAATTTGATCTAATTTTTAAAATTAGTGAATATTGATCTATTGATTTATTTGATAATCTATTGATTATCTGTTAATTATTAAATATATTATTATTATTAATTAAATTAATAGTTTATCCCTGAATTAAATAATGAAGTAAAAAATCATTTGAAATGAATTTACTTTGAGGAAAAATAAATTTTTATTTTCCAACACTAACCATCTTGCATGTACTTGTGCCTTAGGGTGTAAGGAGCAGATCTACAAGTTCCTTTGTGATTTGTCGACGATATGGTACACGAATTGGAAATATTACTAGACGAACTGGATACCTGACTTTGTGCAACGGCAATCGTCGGATTGTACTCGTAACTCATTGGTGTCTGTGGAAGAAACCAAGCTCCTGCATCTAAAATCACAGTTTCAAAGAAGTGATAATTAGTTGCACAAACAGTTAATGCGCCCACTCATTCGCCAGATACAATATTACATTTCCGACCGAGTCGAATCGCAGTGAGTATTACAAATTTTTTTTTTTGCAAAGAACATGTGGCTTTCAGTTTTAAAAACACAAAAATTCATGAATCTAAAATAGGCAAAACAATCATTAATACAAAAAGTTTCCTCATGAGGAAGCAAAATGATTTGAAGTTAATTTTTCGGAACTATATTGCAAACTGATTACTAAAAATTCTGAACTTTTATCATAAATAAAATAATTTAAAAAGAATTGTTTTCCACTTACATTGAGGATATGATTGTGGATCGGTTGGTCTTTCCTTCGCGTCCAAAAATGCTTTAGCAAAAGGGTTGTACTTAATTTTTAAACTCGTCACTTCTTCGTTCTGATATGCTGTGACTGCAATGAATTGAGTTTCGGGAAATCGGTACGTGAGAACCTGATATCAAAAAGAAAATAGACACAAGAAATTAATAAATCTTACAGACAATTTTCTTTTAAAAAATTTATAGAACAAAAGAAAAAGAAATATACCGTTCTTTGTTCTTCCGCGCCCACTCTGACTAAATGAACTCGCGGCTCATATTTGTGTAAGGAATTTAACATTATTTGTCCATTCCCGTTAGATTTGTTTGTTAATTTCACTTTAGCAAACGAAACGGCCTCTTTCATCCAATGAGCACCAAAATTTGGACTCTCAGGGTGAATGTAAATCGGATTTGGTGGAGCGACTTCCGCCTTGCCTCCTGGAACCCATTCGCCGTTCACGTACTTCCATCTGAGCGAAACAAATTTTTACAAAATCGAATTTCCATTTTCTAAATTAAGTAGAAATTAAATAAACTTAAAGAAAAATAAATTTCCATTTTTTGACTTTAGTGGAAAATAAAATAAAATTTTAAAAAATTAAATTTCGATTTTCTAAATTGAGTAGAAAATAAAATAAATTAAATAAATTGAATACAATTGAGTAAAATTAAAAAAAATTAAGTTAATTAGAAGTACCAAATAGACAAGAATTTGTTTAAATAGAATCAGGGCTCGAACTAGGTCCGTAAATGTCCGTTTTTTTTTAAAAAAGTCCGTAATTTGATTCAAAAAGAACAAAAAGTTCGTAGACTTCGCAAAAATTCAATTATGTTTAAAAAACTTTCAAAAATTCTCCTCAAAATTTCAATTACAATAATAAAATTCTTCTTCGAATTTCAATTATTTTCAAAAATTTTGGAAAATAAAATTCTTCGCAGAAATTCAATTATGTTCAAAAATTTTTTTCAATTCAATGATTTTCAATATCGACTACTTTCATAAAATTTTTCAAAAGAATTCAATTATTTAAAAAAAAGTTAATTAAAATTCTACACAAACTTTTGATTATTTTCAAAAAATAATAAAAATTTTACAGGAATTTCATTATTTACAAATTTTATTTATAAATTTCTTCGAAATCATTCAATTATTTTCAAAAATAATAAAATTTTTACAGGATTCAATTATTTTCGTAAATAATAAAATTCTTTTTAGGAATTCAATGATTTTCATAAATAATAAAACTCATTGCAGAATTTCAATTATTTTTAATACAATTTTAATCGAATTCCTGGAAAAAAATCTTAAAAATTTTTTTAAAATTCTCATCAAAATTTCAATTATCTTTAGAAATAATTAAATTCTTCTCCGAAATTCAATTAATTAATAAAATTCTACACAAACTTTTAATTACTTTCAAAAAATAATAAAAATTTTACAGGAATTTCATTATTTACAAATTTTTTTATAAATTTTTTCGCAATAAAATTCTTTTTGGAAATTCAATTATTTTCATAAAAAACAAAACTTGTCGCAGAATTTTATTTATTTTTTATACAATTTGAAATAAAATGATAGAAAATTGTATTTATTCTTAAATTTTTTTTTTAAATTCGCTGAAAGGAAAGGAATTGAATTTTAAGAAATATTCAATTATTCAATAAATTATTTATTTTTGTATTTAAATATAAATTGAATTCTAGTAGAATCTTCTAATAAAAATTGATTTAAACATTAATTTCCGTTAAAATTTTAGATAATAATTGAATGTTAAAAGCAATATGGCCTGAATTTTTTAAAATAATTGAATTTTGAAATTAATTTTTTTGAAAAAGTTTAATTGAATATTTTTAATATTATTTTAAGTTTTTATTTTCTAATATTTATTTAATTGAAGAATTTACGAATAATTGAAATTTTATAAAAATGAATATTGTAAAGAAATGGATTTGAAAATTGTCAAAGAACTTTTTCGAAAATTATTAAAAATAATCGATTTAAAGAAGAATTTTAGTTAAAAATTCTTGTAAATAATAATTGAATATTGTAAATGATTTTATCAATTTGGAATTTTTAATTATAAAACATGAAGAATATCATAAAGATATCTTCATGTTTTATACTTATGAAAAATTTAATATTTATAATTAAAATTTAAAATTAAAATTAAATTTTCTTTTATTTGACTAGAACTGATTATATTTTTGTCAGTATTTTTAAATACTTTCACTGGTTCTCGAGCCCTGTGAAATTATTTCTCAAAATTAACTCACCTGTGAGGGTCAATTTGTACAAATTCTAAAAGTAACGTGTACATTGCCGCCGGCTCTAATCCGCGTGCCACTACTTTGACAACAGGAAACATTCGTCTGAAAAATTACCAATTAGACTAATTATTAATTAATTCCCAAAAAAGTAACATAAAAAAATTATTTTTAATATTCTCTAGTTTTGACAATTTATCATTTTTACTCCTGAAAAATTCTATCGCATTATGAAAACAAAATACTTTTTGTAAACAATATTCTTGCAATAAAAATGAAGAAGAATTTCCAGTCTACCATCATAAAAATTAATAAAACAAGGAACTTTTATTGAATGAAAAGAAGATTTTATAAAATGGTAATTAAATAATTTTTCAAATAAAATATTTTTTTTTTCAAATGTAAATGACAAATCTAATTTGAATTTAAAATTTATGAAAATTTTCATTATAAAATACAAATCTTTTCAAAAAAAAAATTTCTAGCAGAAATATAAGTTGAAAAATTTCTCTAAAAAATTTTTAAAATATATTTCAATGAATTTGGGATATTTAATTTAAGACATAAAAATGATAAGACGCTTAATTAAAAAAGTATTAAAATAAAATAAAGATTTTAATACTTTTTTTTATAACTTTGAAATATAATTTCAATTTTTGTTTTTAACGGAATTTTTTGTTGAAACACTCTCTCTAATGTGTATATGTATAGTATAGAGACTTTAAATTGAAACATTCTAATATTGTGAATAGAAAGAAAAAACTTAGAGAGCGGCATTTTCACAAAGGTACCGAAATGTCTTCTCTGTAATAAAATTTTATTGCCCTGCATTATTGTTACATGGTCACGCTCTTAGGTTTTTATTTGGAATAAAACTTGAATTTTCTGTTTGAATATGACGCGTGGTCCACATGGTCCAGTCACCTTCCAACATTTATTGAATAATTAATATCTTAATTGGCGGGATTTAAAACAATAAATAACTTCATTTCATATTTATGTCCTCAATGAATGAGCGTCGGTGTTTCGTGGATTTCTTTTTTGCAAATTTTCTTCTTTTTTTGAGTCACTATTAATACACGTGTTCTCACGTTGAGAAAAACGGATTTTAATTCTTTTTTTTACTCTTTATTTTATTCTTTTATTATTATTTTTTTGTTTGTTGTATTCACTGTTGATTTTACTCGTTTTTTTTCTAGGGACGGAATTTCTATTTTTGGTAAATTTATATGACAATATGGCATGGAATATTTTTATAGAATATTTTAATTCTAGGATTTAAATATTATGAATATTCAAAGTTTTTAATTATATATTTACAATTTTTCAGATGTAGTTATTGAAAATAAAAATCTTACCTTCCGTTTTTTGTGACGATCATCTCGTTAGTAATGCACTGAAATCTCGTCCATAATTCTCTATCTTCTAGTGAGAGTGAAAGTGCTTGATTATTTGATCCGCACTCTTGGGCACTTGTTGATCTCGCGTTTCTTTCGTCTCGTTCATCGACAATTCGATCCCTCTCTCGTTCGCAGCATCCCGCAGATCGCGGAGAATTTTCCGGATTCACCGCAGAAGTCTGCATTCTTTTAAATGATATCTTTTAGCAAAAATATTCAAATTTTATTTTCACACTAAACACAAATTTAATCACTAATTAGAGTAAACTGTAAAGGACACAAATTCGCAATTTTTGAAAAAGAAATATTATTCATTTTTAAAATGTTTTATTTTATCTTAACTTTGTTTTTAATATTAATTTGTCATTTTGCTAACAATTATATTGTGGATTTTATGCTTTAATTTCAAATTTTTAATTTCATTTCCAATATTTTTATTTTATTTACAATTTTCCATTTAGATTTTAATTTTTTATTTTATTTTTAATTTTCCATTTTGATTTCAGTTTTTCATTTTATTTTCAATTTATTATTTAACTTTCAATTATTTGTTTTTGTTTCAATGTTTAATTTTACTTTCAATTTTTTTTAGATTTAATTTTTAATTTTATTTTCAATGTTTTCTTTTATTTTTAATTATTTGTTTGAATTTCAATTTTTGAATTTATTTATAATTTTTCGGTTTCGTTTCAATTTTTAATTTAATTTTTAATATTTCAATTATATTTTCAATATTTACATTTTATTTGCAATTTTTCGTTTTAATTTCAATTTTTAATTTCATTCTCAATATTTTAATTATATTTTTTTCATAAATTTCTATTTTATTTTCAATTATTCGTTTTAGTTTTAATTTTCAATATTATTTTTAACTATTTAATTTAATTTCATTTCAATTTTTAATTTTTTTCAATTCTTTTAGTCTTAAATTTTTAAGTTTATTTAAAATTTGTAGTTCAAATTCAATTTTTCGTCTTATTTATTTCAATTTTTGATTTAAATTTAAATTTTCAATTTTATGTTTAATAAATGTTTCAATTTTATTTTTTTTATTTAATTTTGTATTTTATTTTTAATTCTTTTTTAGTCTTAAGTCTTTAAGTTTATTTTCAATTTTTTCCTTAATTTCAATTTTTCGCCTTGTTTATTTCAATTTTTCTTTTTAGTTTCAATTTGTAATTTTAGTTCGAATATTTACATTTTATTTTCAATTTTTTGTCTTATTTATTTAAATTTTTCATTTTAGTTTCAATTTTTTTAGTCTTGAATTTTTAAATTTATTTTTATATTTTACTTTAATTTCAATTTGTAATTTTATTTTGAATACTTACATTTTATTTTTAATTTGATTTTAAAAAAATGTTTCTATTTTATTTTATTTCTTGTTAATTTCAATTTTCAATTTTTTGTTTTATTTATTAAAATTTTTCATTTTAGTTTTAATTTTTTATTCTTAAATAATTAAGTTAATTTTTAATTTTTTCTTTAATTTCAATTTTTTGTTTTATTTATTTCAATTTTCCTTTTTAGTTTCAATTTGTAATTTTAGTTTGAATATTTACATTTTATTTTCAATTTTTAATTTAATTTTTAATAAATGTTCCGATTTTACTTTATTTCTTGTTAAATTGAATTTACAAATTTATTTCTAATTTTTCGTCTTATTTTTTTAAATTTTTCATGTAATTTTCAATTTTATTTTATTTCTTGTTAAGTTTATATTTAAAATTTGTTCTTTAATTTCAATTTTTCGTCTTGTTTATTTCAATTTTTCTTTTTTTAATTTCAATTTGTAATTTTAGTTCGAATATTTACATTTTATTTTCAATTTTTAATTTGATTTTCAATAAATGTTCCGATTTTACTTTATTTCTTGTTAAATTGAATTTGTTAAATTGAAAATTTTATTTCCAATTTTTCGTCTTATTTTTTTAAATTTTTCATGTAATTTTCAATTTTATTTTATTTCTTGTTAAGTTTATATTTAAAATTTGTTCTTTAATTTCAATTTTTCGTCTTGTTTATTTCAATTTTTCTTTTTTTAATTTCAATTTGTAATTTTAGTTCGAATATTTACATTTTATTTTCAATTTTTAATTTGATTTTCAATAAATATTTCGATTTTACTTTATTTCTTGTTATGTAATTTGAATTTTCAATTTTTCGTCTTATTTATTTAAATTTTTTATTTTAGTTTCAATTTTTTTAGTCTTGAATTTTTAAGTTTATTTTTATATTTTACTTTAATTTCAATTTTTCGTCTTATTTATTTCAATTTTTGATTTCATTTTCAATTTTCCTTTTTAATTTCAATTTGTAATTTTAGTTTGAATATTTACATTTTATTTTTAATTTGATTTTCAAAAAATGTTTTGATTTTATTTTATTTTTTGTTAATTTGAATTTTAAATTTTATTTCCAATTTTTTGTTTTATTTATTAAAATTTTTCATCTTAGTTTCAATTTTTTTAGTATTAAATTTTTAATTTTTTTTTTAATTTTTACTTTTATTTCAATTTTTTGTCGTATTTATTTCAATTTGATTTTTATTTTATGAATTTTTTTGTTTTAGTTTCATATTTTATTTTCAATATTTAAATTTTATTTTCAATTCTCAATTATATTTTTAATTTTCGTTTTAGTTTTAATTTTTAATTTTTTTTTCAATTTTCCATTTTAATTCCAATTATTCATTTAATAAATAATAATATAAATGTATAGTTCTAATAAAATGTTAATTAAATTTATTGTCAATGTAATTCAATGTTGACTTGAATTGTTTTAAAAACGTATTGAAAATAAATTTGAATGAAACGCAAAACCGAGGGCAATAATGACGATCAGCTTATGTAAAGATTAAACAAGGACATTCATTTTTAAATATCATATTTTTAATGCACTAATTTAATTACTATTTAATTACTTTAATTTCCATTGAAAGTACTATTTGAATTTCTATCTTAATTAATTAATGCACATAAAAAAATTTCATTTAAAAATAATATTTATTTCTTGAAAACTTTTGTAAGGAAAAAAAATTATCGAACTTGTATTGATTTTTGAAAAATCGAATTCAAATAAAAAGATTTGACATATTCTCATAAGGAAAATATTTGCCGAGAGATCAAATATTGTGTTTAATGTTGCATTTTTTTTCTTTTGCAGTAAACTCAGAGTTCCTGAGGTCAAAGAGGAAGAACAATGAATAAAAAAAAGAAAAAACCGGATCGATACCCCTTTTTTTGCAAATGGGACATGAAAAGATCTATAGATCGCCCACGCGCTCTTCTTTTTTTTGATGAATTTATCAATTAGAGGCGATTTAATCAGTCTCGGGGCGCCGCTACTAACACTTGGCTAAACAAAGTAATTATATACCTTGCAGGTGAGGGTAATACAATATACACTCTCGTCGCACAATGTTTCTTAGCAAATCACACGTTATAGATTTTGATTATTATATTCGTATAACTCACGTATGGCTTGTTGCTTGTAACACTTGGGCGCGATATTTCGCACTAGCTGGTGAAGAAAACGTTGGACTCGCATCCTCCAGTTCGTTCGTTTGTTGTATCATCAATTGGCTGCCCACTTTTCCACCACTAGGCGATAATCGGACTTAATTAGGATTGCTTAGAGTAAAAAGATGGCTGAACAACTCTACCATTGGCGGCTCGATTCAGGTTTCCGGTAGCATAAGACCATTGGTTTTTCAAGCATTTGGTTTTATGTTGAAAGGCACGCCTTTCAACACAAGTCGTGGCCCAATGGCAGCGATAATTCCTCCGAGAGTTTATTATTTATTTTGAGTCAGACTGAGACCGCCCTCTGAAAAATAATATATGTGAGGATCTATTGTTCATTTTTGGTTCACCGTCGCTTCTTCTTGCCGATGGAGAACCAGAATCACCGCGGGCTCACCTCATCCTTCAAGATGATGACGATTTTCTTTTCTTACGATAAATTTTCACTTCACAAAGATTTCAGTCTTTGTAAAGAACATGCGACGTGTTGCGGATTAAATTCTTTCTCTTTTTTTTTACAATTAAAGTCGTCGATTTTTGTAATTTTTTGAAAAATTTCCTCCTGCTCTTAATTTTGATTTTCGTTTTTTTTTTTGGATCAAGTTTCGAGGCGTTTGAGATAGAGTGATCTTCTTCCAAAAAAAGTGTGAATTTTTGTGCATTTCCAGGATACAAGTGTCAAGCTATCGGTTTGTGGTTCTTTCACTTTAAATCATCTCTATTTCATTAAATACATTTTCAATAATTAATTAGAGAATTAAATTGAAAAATTTATCAAACTTTCGATCATTTTGTTCCTAATCGTTTGATTTTACTTTGGATGAACAAAATTGGATTAACAATTCATTAATATTTTTTTTGAGTCTTCGCAATTAGCACGATTTTTTGAAATCGTAAAAAAATTTATTATAAAGAAGATTCTATAAAGAATAAAATTCTTTTATGCTAAAAGAAATTTTTTTAATAAAAAAAAATTAAAAGAAATAAATAAATATGAAACAAATTTTTTTCGGTCGGTCTTTTAATTTTCTACTACCAAATGAATTAACTTCAAATTATTGCTTCGAATACTATTTACTTCTTAAAAAATTATTTGGCTCAGCAAATTATTTATTTATTTAAAGAATTAAACGTGCCAAAAGTTATTTCTTTCCTTAAAACAATAAAATTCTTAAAACAAAACATCTCTTGGAAATTACGTTTTTTCCAAATTTCTCTAAAAATTAATTAATTTCTCTAATATTTTAAAACTAATTTTCCTATAAATCAATTATTTTCTCTAATAAAGATTATTTTTAGAATAAGAGTTAATTAATAAATAAGAAATTAATAAATAAGAGTTAATTAATAATTAACTAGAATTAATTCATTAAAATATTAATAATTATTGATGAAAATTTTCGATTCTAAAGATTTTATTTTTCTAAAATGTTTTTTCTTTCTATAAAGCGAAAATTTTAAGTACAAACTAAGACTATATTGTAGAACCTATAGAACTTTGAAAATTGAGGTCGAACGTTTCAGTTATCATTGCATCGTTACCCTTTTTTTTTTTTTTTGTTTTAGTCATTAAAAGATAAAAGCTTTCAAAACAGCCATATGGAATATGGATCCTGGATCTAAAACGCGTTTCAAGCTAAATCACAAAAATCAACACCTATATGCTTACGGTTGAGTTCTCGTATATAATATAATATACGAATATATTTGACGAGGAACATTTGTTTGCTGTATTTTTTTTATCTCACAGACATTTTCTATTTACTTTAAACATTTTTTTCGAAACATGTTCAAAACCGTTCTAAACTTTATAACGACCAGACGTTAAATTTTACCTTCAGTTCTTTTTTTTTGTTCTTTTTTCTGAAGCGAATCCTTTACCTCTTGAGTAGGTATTATTCATTTTTCTTTATAGGTATATACTCAAAGTTGGTTAATTTTTAATGATATTGAAAATTATATTCTTTGTCGATTTAAATTTAAGGAATGGACAGATTATTTTTAATAATGAATGAAATCAAGTTTAAAATTTAATTTTTAAATAATTTCAGGTTAAAAACTTAAAAAATTCACTTATTTAGTACATTATTAATTCTTATTCTTTTTTCAAAAATTTTAATAAAAATCTTCGCAAGAATTCAATTATTTTTGTAAACAATAAAATTCTTTGCAAGAATTCAATTTTTTTTTGTAAATAATAACATTCTTCGGAAGAATTCAATTTTTTTCAAAACAGTTTTAATAAAATTTCGAGAAAGGATTTAATTATTTTTTTTAATTTTTCCAAGAATTCAATTATTTTCTAAAATTTTAATAAATTCTTCTAAACAATTCAATTTTTACTTTTAAAGATAAGAAAGTTTTTTTCAAGAATTAAATTATTTTTGTAAATAATAAAATTCTTCTCATCAATTAAATTATTTTCAATACAATTTCTATAAAATTTAATAATCAAATTTTTGATTATAATTATTAACGGATATTATTATTTTAAAAAGTTAAAAAAGAAAAAAAAGTTTTTTTTTTTTTTTTAAAGTTTTGTTTCAAAAAATTATTTCAAAAATTTTCAATTAAAATTAATAAAAAAAATCATTATTTTCAAAAAAAATTTAAAGAAGTTCTTCAAAATAATTTAATTATTTACAAAAACTCTAATAAAAATTGGTTAAAAGAATTAAATTTTCTATCAATAATTATTTTAATAAAATTTAATGATAAAATTATTAATTACAATTATTAACAAAAAAATCGATTATATATTCGAAATTAAAGAAATTTTGTTAAAAGAATTCAATTATTGTCAAAATATATCTACTCTTCAAAAAAATTCAATTATTTTCAATATTTTAATAAATTTTCTGGAATGAATGAAATTATTTATAAAAATTGTAATAAAATTCTAAAAAGAATTCAATTATCTTCTAAAAATTTTAATGAAATTCAATAATCAATTGTTTAATTTCAATTATTGACAAACACAATTATTTTAAAAACTTGAAGGAAATTCTTCATAAAATTCAATTACATTGAAAATTTTCAATTGAAATTATTAATGAAACTCTATTATTTAAAAAAAATTCTTCAAAAGAATTTAATTAAGATATTCAAAAATTTTTATAAAATTCTTCGCAAGAATTCAATTATTTTCATAAATAAAATTCTTCGAAGGGATTCAATTATTTTCAAAGATTTTGAGAGAATTCTTTGCAAGAATTTAATGATTTTAAATAAAATAATTTTAAAATTGAAAACATTTAAATAAAATTATTTAAAAAGTTTATTTAATATTAATCCATTACTAATTTTTTATTATTTTTGTTAAGTAATTGTAAAATGGAAGAAAAGAAAAAAAGCTCGTACTTTCTACCATTTTCGTCAATTAATTGCAAAAAAGGCAAAAAATAGTATTTCTTTATTATTTATGTCAAGTAATCAAAAAATGGACAAAAATTTAAAAAAGCTCGTAATTTTTTATCATTTTCGTTAATAAATTAAAAAATAGAACAAAGACAAACTAGTATTTTTTTTCTACTTTTTTCAAGTAATCGAAAAAATCCTAATTTTTTTATCATTTTCGTTAATTAATTGAAAAGTGAAAAAAAAGAGGACAAAACTCATAAATTGTAATAACAATTAAATTACATAATTAAAAGTGAAAAAAGAAACATTTTATGCAACTGCTACTGTAAAGATATAGAAAATTGATATACGTTTTAGATAAATTCACGGCTTGTATAACATGTATCCTTCATTCTTTCTTTTTTTTTTTAAAAAAAAAGAAGATTGTGATGTCTTAATGGTCGGCAACGTGCCTCTCAAATATATAATAACATAAATCTTGTAGAGGACATAAACATAAACGCATAAATGCAAACCTATGTACCGTCGGCCACCCATCTTTTCTTATTCGGTAGGCAGACGGCAGGTGTTATAAAATCCTGGAGAATCCCTCTCAACAGTTTCAAACGGTAAACATTGATTAACCCAAGAATTTTTATGACATCTATCCATTATTTGACTAGCTACCATTAGAAGGCACTTTTATCTCATCCCTTTTCCCCTTTTTTTTCCTCTCAATTTTAACCTGCGCCGCGCGAATTTCCGATCCTCGAATTTCACCCACAAAAAAAAAAGAAAGAAAGAGAGAGAAAGAAAATTTCTTTCTCGTAAAATGAAAATTTTTAATTAGAAACTGAACTAATTTTCTAATTGGTTCAAGTGAATGAACCGATTTGACTAATTTTCTGATTGACTCAATATCATCAATTAATTTGACTAATTTTCCAATTGGTTCAATTTCATCAATTAATTTCATTATTAGTTTCTTTAAAAAATTTATGTTTGAAAATTGTATACATTTTTCTAATAATTCGAAACAATATTCTTAAGTTTAATTTAATAATATAATAAATTTCATTTTAGTAAATTAAATTTACTTTAAACAAGTAGATTTTTTTAGCAATAACTTGATAATATATAATAATTATTAATAAATCTGAATCAATGTTAATTACATTGATAACAATGGAATGTAGATATACAAATAACGAAACTTTGGTTTTTTCCCCAAAAACTATATAGAATAGAAATTAAAAAACGAAATTAAAGAAAAAAGAGGATAAAATAAAGTAAAAAAAAAAAATTTTCGAAACTTATCTACAGATCATCTTTGGAATCATTTTTCTGAATTTTGGAATTTTCCATGACTCGAAGGTCTAGTCCTTCGGAATCACTGTTGCTTTCTGGATTTTCATTCAATTTGATGCACTGACAGGAATTGCAATTATTTGTCGAATTTCCAATATTTCCCTTGTGCAGAAGAATTGTTGGCGAATGATTTAAATAAGCGATTTGAACATTTTGCGGCTGAACTGGTTCAAACCATTCCTGCGATATTCCATGACGACAGTCCATTATAGCAGCATACTTCTAAATTAAGTTTTAATAAACAAAAGGAAAATAAGATAAAAATAAAAAATTAAATATTCAAAATTATAATAAAAATTCGTTTTCAAAATTTCAATAAAAATACGTTTCTCAAGATCAGAAAAAGAAATCTTCTCGAATTCAAAAAGGAGTTCAAAACGAAAGAAAATTTTTCTTAATTTACAGAATTCATTTCCAAAAATGAGAAAAAGAAATTTGTTTAGAATTAAAAATGAAATTTGAAACGAGAGAAATTTTTCTTTTCCAAAATTTGTTTTTCTAAAAATGAGAAAAATAAATTTTCTAGACTTAACAAAGAATTTTTAAACGAAAAAATATTTTCCTTTTATAGAATTCATTTCCAAAAATCGGAAAAATAAATTTTTTAGAATTAGAAACGAAAAAAGTTTTCTTTTACAGAATTAATTTCGAAAAATGGGAAAAATGAATCTTTTAGAATTAAAAAAACGAAAGAAAATATTTCTTTTACAGAATTCATTTCCAAAAATGGGAAAAATAAATTTTCTTGAAATAGAAAAGAATTTTTAAACGAAAGAAAATTTTTCTTTTGCAGAATTCATTTCCAAAAATGGGAGAGATAAATTTTCTAGACATAGAAAAGAATTTCTAAACGAAAAAAAAATTTTCTTTTACAAAATTTATTTCCAAAAAATAAAAAAATGAATCTTTTAGAATTAAAAAGAAGTTTAAACTGAAAAAAATTTCCAAAGAAAAATTGTCCTTTCACAAAATTCATTACCAAAAATAAAAAGTAAAATCTTTCAGAATTAAAAAAGAAATTTAAAACAAATGAAAATTTTTCTTTCGTATTCTTTTACAAAAATAACTTCTAAAAATGAGAAAAAATAAAGTAAAAAACGTAAAACAAAACTTACAGATGAATTTTCCGATGAATTTGTTGACGAAAATTTTGGTATTATATAATAACAGTCTTTGGCCATAATTCGTTGTAAAACTTCGCCATTTCTCGAGTCCTGTGAATTTCCGTTACCGTTTTGGGATTTTGGAGAATATGGAAAAACAGGAGTGGTCAGGAAATTTTCCGGAATCAGCTGGGGAAAAAAATATCATGTTAATTACAGTATTTTTATACACATATATATACACCACTTTTTATCATATAAACGTTTATTTCCTTCAACGTTACTCACAATCGTTTCATCATCGTAATAAATAAAATCAATTATACAAACGCAAAGAAAAATTTCCCCTACAATAGAAAAACACTTTTCAAAATTCAAATATTCAAATTCCAAAATAATTAAATTTATATAAAATTAAAATTTAAATAATGAGTTCGAAACCTTTTTTTTTCTCAAAAATTACGATTTTTACATTTTGTTTCCCCTCAAAAGCAATTGAATTCGAAAGAAAGTATAAATTCGATCTTTTATTTTTTTGTAACTTGTAATTTGTACTTGTTAAATTATAATTATTTATTTAAATGAATATATATTCTTCTTGAAGCTCATCTGAATTTAATTATACAATTTTTTAAATTTTCTATTACTAATTAAATTCGACGAATTAGTCGAAGGAATACTGGTTCGTATTCTTTTCATTTCTTTTATAGCTTTTCTGGAAAAAATGCCAAGTGATTAAAAGTCATTTTTATATTTTTGATCAGAATAATTTGTGAAATTAATATTTTATCTATATCAGAGATTTTTACTTTTAAAAAATATGATAGCGATTTGCAATAACGATCGAAGAAGATATTTGCACGAGTCTTTTTTTCAAAGATCAAAAACTGTCCAATAAAATCAGACAGCTATTATTATTATTATTATTATTATTATTTTTATTTATTACAAATAAAAATTTCATTGTAAATAATAGACTATTAAACAAAAATCGAATCTAACCCTCGGGGTTTTTCATAATTTGATATGTATTCATATACAGGGTTTTTAATGATTATTTCAATTTCGAAAAATTATCAAATTTCGCTTTTTCGACAAAATGAAAATATTTCATATTTTTGAAATAATTTTTTCGAGATTTTGTCTTTTGCAAATAAAGCAAGTATTAAAAAAATTGACTCTAATTTAAATTATTTTTTAAAAATCGTTGTTAATATTTTGACTGAAATATAAGTCATTTAAGTAAATTTTCCGCGCAGTTATTTACCCTGTAAAATGAAAAATCAAATATTATTCGAGAAGATTTTGTGATTCGGTATTATAATAATTAATATTATGATCTCTGTAAAATATAAATCTTGATCGAAAAACCTTATTAGCATTGTCAAATTTGATTCGTACGTACGATATGAAAGTTTAAATCTTTCTAAAGTCTTAATGATTAATTAGTTATTCTGCTTTTAATGCTTCTGGCTATTGATTTTTTTTCATAGGAACTAAAAATGTTACATTCTTATGAATTAAATGTTAGTTTGACAAATCTATATAGCTAGTTGGTATTTCGTTATATTTCTTTTACATATTAATTCACCACTGGCACCTTTGATCTATTTTCGAAAAATACAATAAAAAAATTTTTTTTTAAAATTTTTTCGTTCTACTATACATTTTTTGTGAAAGATTTTTTTAGAAAGAAATCATTATAGAAAATTATCTACATTATTCTGAAATAGTTATAATAAAATTTAACGTATTAATTAATTAATTAATAATAATAATAATAACAATAATAATAATGATAACAATATTAACAATAATAATAAACTAATAACAATATTAAATAACAAATAATCAAAGGCACCATTTTAAGTGAAACTGACGAAAAAAAACATTTTTCTCAATATAAATTAAAATCATCTGATCACTTTCTCGCTTGACTTTTTGTCTCGTCATTCATTCCTGTCACGCTTTAACTTTTTTTTCCTTAACGTTTATGATATTATAATTTAAAAATTAAATTTTAAATTACAATTTCATAAAATTCTTACTTTCAAATCAACTGAAAGACTAATTAACATTCAAATTCGTCGAAAATTGATTTATTTCAACGACGATTTTGATTCATGTACTATATTTGTCGAAAATTTATTTTCTTTTTATACATTAAACATATTGTATTAGGACTAAAATTTGATTTTCTTTCTCGAAAGAGTTAATTTTCATACACGCACAGCTCCATCGGGTTTTCTTTTTTTATTTTCGTGAATTCGATTCAATATTCCTTAAACATTGATCGTAAAATTATTACATCAATTCTTTTATTTTTTTGATATTTTAATTAAATTTAAATTTAAATTCTATCATGTAATTTTAATTTTAATTTTATTTTAAAATTTTAATTTGCTTAATCGAATTGTTGAATAAACGCAACGCTTAGGGAATTTGAATCGTAGGACCCTAAATAATGTTCTCTCGGACGCGAGTGACCTTCTAATTAATTATAATAATTATAATCATCACTAAAATTTGATTTAATCACAGTAGGACAATGATTAATCTCTCGTACTTTCTGCAGTACTTCAAAACGAGATTAGGAAGCCGATTAAAATTTTCTCTAGTCTCGATAAAATTTGTATCAGACTTAAATGTAGAAAAGAATTTTTTACAGAAAAAAATTTTTATAGAAAGGAATGTTTACAGAAAAGAATTTTTTACAGAAAAAAATTTTTTATACAAAAGAATTTTTTGCAGAAAAAAAATTCTTTTTAGAAAAAATTGTTCACTTTACATTTTATCAATGATTATTCGACATTTTACATTATCTTTATCATTGAAATGATTTTTTTAAGGAAAATTTTTTTTTTATGAAAAAATTCTTCTATAGAAAAAAATACATTTTTCAACTCAACTTTTACTTTTCAACTAGAAATTCTTTTATTTTTCTATTCTCCTCATTTTTTTTTGGCTACTATTTTTTATATTTATTTTATTTACACTCTTTCTTTATTTGAAACTTAATATTTCCCTTAGGCAAATTAAATTATTTAAATTGACTTAAACAAAAAATGAACTAAAATTAAAATGAAATTAAAATTAAAAAATTAACTAAAAAGACTAAAATATTTAAAGAAAATTTTTTTCCTCGTAACATTTTTTTTTTTTTTTTTTGGTAAAGAAAGTTTTTTCACTGATACAATATTTTATCGACGATTGTTCGGCATTTTACATTATCTTTGGCATTGAACGTAAGACGTGGAATTCTCTTAAAAGACTAAAAATATTTGGAGCAAGAGATTTCGAAATACAAAATTTCGATGTGACGGTAAAATCGTTTGTTTCTTTTTTTTTTCTTCTTCTTGTAAATTGGTCACTTTTGGAAAGGTGATGAAATCGAACGACTCGTATGTCTATAGTTTTGATTAAATTTGTCTTAATTTAATTTCTCAAAATTAATCGCTAGTTGGAAAATTTTTAAAATTAAATATTTTCAATTGCAACTAATCGAAAATTATTTACTGACAAAATAATACAATGTTAGTTGAATTTATCTAGTTTATTAAATATTTTTCGGTTTTTTTTCTTTTCATCTTTTTTAAAATTGAATTTTTTTGAAAATTAAATCGAAATTAATTACTTGAAAAATTTCAAAGTAAAGATTAGAATGAGAAATTAAATTTAATTAAAATTGGAAAAGTTAAAAGTGAAAATTAAATAATTAGAAAAAATGAAAGAATATCATTAAATTAAGACAAATTTTTGATGAATATTAAATAGGAAAGAGTTGAAGAGAAATGAAAAATTTGGTCCCATTATAGGTACAGGATGGGTTGCAGAGCGTGAATTATATCGTAAATCATTGTCAATATTGTACATTACGGATATTGTACACATATTTAATTATAAGTACTTTTCTATGTATAGACATAGCCGTAATGAAAATTAAAATTAAAAAAAATCGAAATTTAACGCCCACGAGACGTTTCATTTTTTTTTCTTATTCATTTTATGTCTATGCACGTAATAACATTTATATGGACCTAGATATCTACTAAATAATTTATATTCTTTTATCACATATTTAATTCTTTGATAATAAATATTAGTAACCTATTAACAATAATAAAATTGTTAACACACAGAATGTTCCGGATTTTAGGATTCTTCTCTTTTTTTTGGTATCATTGACTTATAATAATTATTAATAAAATGTTCACATGCATTTTTCCGGAAATTTGTTTTTTTTGATTTTAAAAGTAGTTTTAAGTAGATAATAAGTTATCTATCAATAATAATTCATCAATATTTTCTCTTCTTTTTTTCTCCACATTTTTCTTATGTATTTTCCCATGTGTATAGATATATTTATAATATGTATATATAATATATTTTTTTTTGTTTTTAAACAGATATCGTACTATTCATCTAGCGTTCGTTTTGGCTTCCGTGCTCGCGATTTAACACGAACTCGCGTTCATATATATATAATATATTATTTATTATATTATTTTTCATATATATTATGTATATTTATTAATTAATATACTCATCAGGTAGGCAGGCGAATGAATGTGAGTTATGTAATTTTTTTTATTGTTTTGTTGACTTTCTTTTTATCCGTTTCTTGAAGGCATATTGTGCGACACTATATTGTCGTTAAACTATAAACTTCATTTCTTTGTTTTTCTCAAAAATTTCATAATTCATTCTCATTCACTTTCCTGTTTTCACTCTGCGAATAATAATGGACGCCTTCCTTTAAAAATTGAATAAATAGATTAGTTACGAATATCTACTAGTAAGACGAGAACGACGAGATTGGTGTATAATAATTTTTACAGGGCAGATTTTTTTTCCAGTAATAAGAGACTCTCAATGGGGGGAGAAAAGAAAAAATAATCTTTTCGTTCATTTATTAATTAATTTAATTGAATCAATTGATTGAATTTTGCAATAATTGTCATGCAATTAATTGAATTATTTAATTAATTAAATTACTTGAATTGATTAGAATTAATTATTCATTATGGAAAGTTTTAATGTTATGTAAAAGTAAAACGGTAAATTTCAAGTTGATTAATTTTGTCTCATTATTACGGAGTCGTTATGAAAAAAACGACTTTTTCTCTACCTTAGTCAGTAATCATTTCATTTTTAATTAATATAATATTACTTAATATATCCAGTTCATCGAAAGGCACAATTTTGATAACCAATTGAAATTCATATATAATAACGATTAAATATCGTTGCCCGCTCATTTTCCTTCTCCTCAGTCTCACTAAACAGGAGGGAGCAATGCTTTTCTTTTTTTTTCTTTTTAAAAAAAAAGAATACATTATTAATAATATCTAAATCTATTTAATTGTCGCCTGTTAATGTATTTTCTCCTAAATCAGTGTCGGATAATATACTTTCAAAAATTTACCTGTATTTAAATACAATTTATTACACAAGGAACTATTTACTCTTTCAAAAAAGAAAAAATTCAAAGTTGTGTGATAATTTTGCAAAAAAAAAATCTAGAAATTATTTTATTTCCCATAAATTTGCAATAATATGTGAATTTTTTTTAAAAATATGTTTCTTAACTTTTTATACTTACTACTTTTTGCAATTTTTGTAACTTTTATAATTTTGAATCTATGAAATAATTTAATTCTCGCACAGAATTTTATTACAATTTTTGACAAGTAATTGAATTGTTTCGAAAAATATTATGAAAATTTTTGAAAATAATTAAATTCCTTCGAAGAATTCAATTAAATTTCTATTAAAAACAATATTGAATTCTTTTTAGAGATTTTATTACAATTCAGATTCTATTCTTAAGAATAATTGAATTTATTTAAATATTTTTATTCTTTTTGGAAATAATTGAAATTCTTTAGAGAAATTTTTATTAAAATTATAATCAAAGTTATTAAACTTCTACGCAGGATTTTAATTATTTTTTTTTTGTTTTTGCAAATAACTGAATTCATTTAAAGAATTTGATTATTTATGAAAATAATTGATATCTTTAGAGAAATTTAATTAAAATTATATTCAAAGTAATTGAATTCCAGCAAAAAATTGTATTATTTATAAAAATAATTGAAATCTATATTGAGATTCCTCTAAAGAATTTTATTACTTACGAAAATAATTTAATTCTTTGGAAGAATTTTATTAATATTTTTAACAATAATTAAATTCCTCTCAAGAATTTTATTATTTATGAGAATAATTGAATACTTTTGAGAAATTTTATTAAAATTCTATAGAAAATAATTGAATTTTTGTGAAGAATTCAAAATAATTGAATTCCTCTAAAGAATTTTAATATTTATGAATTAAATTGAATTCCTGGAAAACATTTTTATATTTATAGGAAGAATTGAATTCTTTTGAGAAATTTTATTAAAATTCTATAGAAAATAATTGATTTTTCTGGAAAATTGCATTAATTTGAAAATAATTGAATTCCTTCGAAGAATTTTATTAATATTATATTAAGAATAAGTGAATCCTTGCGAAGAATTTTATGAAAATTTTTGAAAAAGTTTAAATTATTTTAAAGAATTTTAATGAAATTTTTAAAAATAATAAACACTAATAATTAATTAGTCAATAAGTGAATTTACACTTTTTTAAAGTTTAATTCTAAATTCCCAATTTTTAATAAAAATAAAGAAAAAAAAATATATTCTAAACTTGTAATAGAATTTGAAACTAGAAATAGAAAAAGTATAGAACCTTGTGAAATAATTGTATTCATACAGAGAGTACTCCCAACACTGTGTGCTAAAAAAAGAAAGAATGAAATCGATCTATTTTCTTAATTAAATTTCACTACCTATTGCACTCACGCAAGGACTGTGCCAGCGTGGTGCCGTCGCAGCTGGACTTCTCGTCTCATTGTAGTAAGAATTCAATGTGAGATTGCCAAAGTTATTAGCCGAATTGCCACCGCAATTATTAACTGAATTCGGACAATTATTATTGCCATTTACTTCAGCAATGCCACTGTGCCTAAGATCATCAATCGTTGACATTCGTGACGTTAAATCAACGTCCTCATCATCGCCACAATTTCGTTCATTACTTACTGTTACATTGCCGCCGCTACTTTCGCCGACCATATTGGAGAAAAATTCTGATCTCGAAAACCTTCCAATTTCCGTTGAACCAAATGCTTGATGAAAACCAGGCAGCGGCTGTTTACAATTCATTTTTGGCTGTTTCACTTCGACATATTGCTGCTGCTGTTGATTTGGCTCAATTTGTTCATGATTTTCCTGCTCTTCTTTTGGAAATGATTCTGATCTCGAGGATTTTGAGACGAGATTATTTGTTGATATTGCTGCTGCTACTGCTGATGATGATGATGATTCGGAGGTTGACGCTGAACTTGTCGTGCTCCATTTTGGACCATCGTCACTGCATTTTTCCTCGTCTGATATTTGTTGCATGTTCACTGGCGAGGACATTGTTTTTTCCTGCTGTAAAGGAAATTTTCAATTATAGCTAATAATGAATTTTGATAATTATTAATTTGGTAATTAGTAATTTAGTAATTAGTAAATTACTAAATTACTAACAAAAAAACTGATTTTGCTTTTCCCTAACTTCTAAACAGAATTTTGATTTTTTCCCTTACCCTAAAGAATATTCTAATTCACTCTAAAAGTGACAGGATTGCCACGCTTTTCTCTTTTCAAATTCCCTGACTTTTCCAGATTTTCCAGGTTAAAAAACGGAATTTTTCCAGGTTTTCAAAACGAAAATTATCCGAAACATCAATACTTCATTTTTAAATAAATATTTAATCATTATTTTTTTGAATAGAAATTAAGATATTCAAAGATTTGAAATTCAATAACATAATTAAGAATATTATTATAAAACATGAAGATATCGATCACTCCGAGTCACTTCTTCGACTCGGAGTGATCGCTTTCTTCATGTTTTATAATATTTATTAAAACTTGCTACTTTGTTACTGTAACTTCTTCATAAATTATTTTCATCATTACGATTATTCATTTCTAGAATTTTCAACTAAAATTCTTTAATTTTTTTTTAATAATTCTTGAAAAAGTTCTTTGTGAATTTTCAAATTCTTTTGTTTACAATTTAATTTTACTAAATTTCGATTATTCTGACATTATTCAATTAAATATATTAGAAATTGAAAATTTCAAATAATTAAAAAAAAATCCCATTAAACTTATTGAAAAAAATTAATTCTATAGAATTCTTAATTAAAAGTATGAAAAGTTCATATTTTCAAAGATTTTAATTTGAAATTAATTTTTAAATCAATATTTATTAGAAAATTCTACGAGAATTCAATTATTTAACTATAAAAATAAATATTTTATTAAACAATTGAATGTTCCTTAAAATAGAATTTTCATAAAGAATTTTATCAACAAATTTTCAAATAATTGAATAATTCTCTTGACAAATGTTAATAAAATTTTTAAGAGTAATTGCATTATTTTCGAGAAATTTGATCAAAATTATATTAAAAATAATTGAAATTCTCCTAAGAATTTTATTTAAAGTTTTAAAAATAATTGAATTTCAGAGAAAACTTTTATTATTTATAAAGATAATTGAAATTTTGACGAGAATTTTTGTAAATTTTTAAACATAATTGAATTTGGGCGAAGAATTTAAAAAAAATTATTTTGAAAAAAATTGAATTGTTTCGCAAAGAATTTCATTAAAATTTTAAAATTGTCAAATTAATTGTCAAAATAATTTTATTCTTTAAAGGTAATTTAATTAAAAATGTATTGAAAATAATACCTTAATTCTAATAAATAAATTCAGCATTGAGTTTTATTATTTATGAAAAAAATTTGTAAATAATTGAATTCCTGTGAAATTTTTATTATAATTATGAAAATAATTAAATGTTTGCGTAGAATTTTAATAAAAAATTTGTTAACTAATTGAATTCTTTTAGGAATTTTTATTAAAGTAGTAGATATTAAAAATAATTGAATTGATTAAAGTTTTTGAAAATAATTACAATTTTGCCAAGTATTTTATTAAAATTTTTGAAAATAATTTAATTTCTTCAATCATTTTTAATTGATTTAAAATTCAATTTGTTTTAGTGTTTTTAACTAGAATACTTCTATAAATCCATTATTTTCAATAATCAATTAAATATATATTAAAAAATTTAACTAATTTCAGAAGAATTTTAGTTTCTAAAATTTTTTTAACTAAAGTTTTTTATAAATTTCTAATTAAATTCATTTAAAATGGAAATTTTACAAAATTTTTAATCAAAATCTTTTGAAGTTCATCTACTTTTGAAAATTGTAAACGCAATTTTTTTAAAATTGAATTAATTCTGAAATGTTTATGTGAGATTAAATTTCAAGAATAAACATAATAACTTTAAAAACACAACAATTTTTCAGGATTCTGATCAAAATTCCCTGACTTTTCCAAGTTTTTTCAAAGTTTATATAATTCCCTGACATTTCCAGGTTTTCCAGGTCTCCAGGTTGCGTAGCAACCCCGAGTGATTACACGAAAAGACATTTCTTTTCTAAATTTAAATTACATTCTACTAGAGATTCTTCATATTTTGTAGCTACACACAAAAAAAATATGGTAAATTTGACTACTTTTTTACTATTTCCTGTAGTTCCTATAGGCGCCCGTAACATTATTTAGTAAAATGAACTATGACAGAATAGTTAGCCTAACTGTAAAATGTAGTAATAAATACCATTTTTACAGTAACAACTGTAAAAAATAGTTAAATTAACTATTTAAAGTAGTAAAATGAAATTATTTATTTGTTTTTTATTATTATTGAGGTCCATTTTTTTATATTTTCTCTTACCTATTTTTGTTCATATATAATTTATATATTAAATTCTTATACACCTAACAGAGAAAAATCCCCAAACGCCGGGGATTGAGAACGCACGACCCTAACATTCGCAAACCGATAACCTAACCACCTAACCACGCTCGCACGCTACGATGACTGGCATTGTACTTGAGGACATTCTTCTTAGATTCAGTCATAATAACTACTCCGTTTAGTTGCAGTAACTAATTTTTTAAGCTCAAGGACTTAGTTGAAATGTAGCCAGCATATGATTTTAAATGACTCAACGATAGTGCAGTACTTAAAAGTACTGTTGAAAATAGTTATTTTCAGAATTTCTGTAGTAAAATTATCCACTTTTTACTAGTTATAAAAAAATTAAACTTACTATTTTCATATAGTAAAAATAACATAAAAATTGTTACTTTTATGACTTTTGTAGTTATAAAAATAAATGTTTCTTACCACCATAGAGATAAATTATTAAAAGCTAGTAAGAATTGGTTCTTTTAACTACATTAAACACAAAAATAACAAATTCCAGTGGTTGTTTTTACTCTTTGGAACAGTAAATTTTAATTTATTTTGCAAATAGCAAGAAATGGATATTTCTACTACAGAAATTCCGAAAACAACTATTTTTAACAGTACTTTTAACTGCTGCACTATTGTTGAGTTATTCACAATCATAACGTGTAGTAGTAATTTTAACTACATAAAACCTACTATTCAATTTTAGTTCCACTAACTATGGAAGTTTAGTTAAAATACTGCTGAATATGGTAGTTTTAACTATATTTTTTTAACTGCACATATGTGGATGTTTTTACCACTCACGTTTTTTCTCTGTAGAAAAAAATGATCTTTTCAACTGCATAAATAGTAAAAAATAACTATTTTCAACAATTGATTTTACTATATGAAAACAGTAAATTTCTTTCTTTCTCTGCAACTAGTAAGAAATAGTTGTTTTAACTACATAAATCATAAAAGTAACAACTTTCAGAGGTTGTATTTACTATATAAAAACAGTAAGTCTCTTTTTGTTTGCAACTAATACAAAATAGTTATTTTTGCTACCACAATAGTAAAATTAACTATTTTTAACAATAGTTTTTACTACTACACTATAGTTGAGCCATTTACAAGCATCTGTTAGTTATTTCAACTACGTAAACTAGTTATTTTAACTACATAAAACCAACTACTTCATTTTGGTTCCACTAACTGAGGAAGTGTAGTTAAAATGCTGCTGAATATGGTAGTTTTAACTACTTTTTTTCTAACTACACAAATGTGGTTGTTTTTACCATTCGCATTTTTTTCTGTGTAAATATTAAATAAATATAATTATTATCTACAATTTTTAACGAAAATTCTTTTAAATATTCAAAAATTCAACTATATAATTTTAAAAAAAATTTAAATAAAAATATTTCTAAAAATAACTTTTTCAGAATTTTCAATCAAAATGTTTTAAAAATCAAATTTTCCAAAATTTAAACTCAATTCTTATAAAATTCGTTTATTTTTGAAGTAAAATAATTCATTAAAAAAATTTATAAGTAATAATTTTGTAAAATAATTCTGGAATTTAATTTTTTTTTAAATTAACTGAATTTTTGAATATTCAAAAATTCAGCTAATTTAAAAAGAATTAAATATAAATATAAATTCAATTATTTTTGAAATTGTTATGTAAAATTATTCATTAAATAATTCTTAAGTAATAATTTTATTGATAGTTCTCCAAGAATTAAATTATTTATAATAAATTCAATTTCATATTCTGTAAAACTCAATTATTGTCAGAAATAAAAAAAAATTGAAGGTTCTGTATCAAAATTCCTTGTGATTTTAAAATTTATAAGGCAAACAAAAAAAAATCAAGAGGAAAAAAGATTTTTAATATTTTTAAAAGTTGCTGGACCAAAAAATACAGAATTTTCTTATGAATTCTAAAAATTTAATATTTTTCCTGTACTTTTGGTAATGATAATAAAATTTCCTGAGTTTTCTCTGATTCTCCTGACCAATTTTACTTTCCCTGACTTTTTCCTAACTCTGTGCAAATCCTGAATTAGTAATTTAGAAATTCGTAATTATTAATTAATTCGCAGTTGTTAATTTACTTGTAATTATTAATTAACTCGCGAGTATTAATTAACTCGTAGTTATTAATTAACTCCCAGTTATTAATTAACGCGTAGTTATTATTTAATTCGTAATTATTAATTTTTAATTTAAATAAATAATTTTCTAAATTAATTATTGCTTCGATCAATTTAATAAATTTAATTTACTTGATGCTCTGGCTGACGATAAGAAGTGTGAACTTTGTGATTGATGTCAATTTTATTCGATCCATAGGGAATCTGCATCTCCTCAGGATAGAAGCAATGATTTTGCTGATCTGGAATGAAGACCATATGCCTTGGACCACGAATCATGGAATTTTGAGCTGTAAATTTCGAAATGAAGAGAATTTATTATCTGTCTTTGATTATCGTCGAAGTTAATATATTCACACACTTACATAAAGGTACCCCACAGAATTGTGTCCAATGACCGGGATGAGGATTCGAACTCTGCATATTACGATGTAAATTGCTAATTTTTGACGCTGGTGCTCCTCTCGAGTGATAGGCATTCGTTCCATTCTAAAGCAAACAATAATTTTAATATAAAATATAAATTTCAATCAATATCATTTCAATAATTAATTACACGTACTAATTACAAAATTTATAACAAAATTGTATTTAATTATTATTTTTGTTCTAATAAACTAATTAATTCATAAAATTACAAAATTTAATTGAAAATTTATTAAAAAAGGACAAGAAATAAGTTTCAACAATCAAGGTTGTCACAATAATTTAAATTTGTTTTTCCTTGATTTAGACAGACAGAATTACGATTTTTTTTTTATTTCAAAAAAAAAAAAATTCAAAGGGAGTTCAATAATAAAAGAAAATATAATTTTTTAGACAGTAAAATTCGGGTAAAATTTAATGTAAAACTTTATATTTTTCCAGTACTTTTTAATAAAATTTCCTGACATTTCCCTGATCTGTGACAACCCTGAAAAATGTTAAAATCAATTAAACCAACAAATTCTGTTCTAAAAGAAGAGAATTGACTTTGATTAAAAAAAAGAAGAAAAAGTAAGAAAAACTTTTATTTCGCGGGAAGTTAAATTAATTTGTGCACTATTTCTAATTTCTTTGAAATCTAATTTCAAGTTATATTTAGAAGGACGTTTCTCTGTTACCTGATAAGGATGCCACTTTTGCCCCTCGGGGAATTCGCCCATTACGCAATAATCATTTCCGTCCTGATTGGTATTTGGATTTCCAGGAGCTGGTGATCCATGGGATCCAAATTCTCCGTAAACTGGTCCCGGAAATCCTCCGGGAGGCCCACATTCTATTTGCTTACGTATCACATCTTTAGTTTTATCCAAAGTTCTTTGATGAGCAGCCAGTGCCTAAAATTCAGATTATTAGACTCGGTTCAAAAGAAAAAATTAAAAGGAAAAATAGTATTTAGCTCCTAATTAGTAAATATTGAGTTAATATTAATTAAATAACTATTCAGTTAATATTAATTACGTAAAAATTAAATTAATATTAATTAACTAAACATTAAGTTAATATTCATTCAAGAAATACTAATTTGATTTTTATTTATTTATTTTTTTTGTTGATCAACTATTTAATATATTATTTAATAAATACTGATTAAAAGAAATAAATTAATATTAATTATATACTAATTAATCGTCGGGAGTCAAAGTGCCAAAATAAAAATGCCAAATTTTTTAAATTACTATTTTTCCAGTATTTTTGTTTTTTTGGTTGTTCCTAAAATTTCGAAAGTTCAAATGAACGACGATATTTTTTTACATCTTTAATTGTTTTTTTTTGTACGAAAAAAATTATTTTGTATATTAAAAAACTGAATTCATCACTAAATAAATGTTTGTTTAATTTATATTTCTTTTTTGCATAGGTCGTAATTTTCAAAAATATTTAAACAGAATTGGAATTTAGAATTAATTTTTTTTTTAAATTCATCCTTTGGAAATTTTTTATTTTGGAAAAGTTTCTTACAATGAACGTTCAAGAAAAATAAAATTAATTTAAAAAATTTCTCGAAAATATCTTCCTTTGAAATTAATTGTTTTTTAATTTTGTTCTTTGGAGATTTTTTATTTTGCAAAAGTTTCTTACAATGAACGTTGAAAACTGAAATAAAATTATTTTAGAAATTTTTCCAAAATATTTTGTTTTGAAATTAATTTCTTTTTAATTTTTATCCTTTGGAATTTTTTTTATTTTACAAAAGTACATTTTGGGAATTTTAATTAAGGTTTTGATAATTTTTCTTGGCAATTTCGTATTGATACTTTTATTTTGTCTCTTTTGTATAATAAAATCCAAATTGATATTATGAAATACTAATGGGTATTAGTTGGACAATTAAAAATTGAATAAAAATGTCAACTAATCCACTTTTCATTTATAGAGACAGATTTGTCGGATTATATTTAAAGTGTAACTGATATGTAACGCGCGATACAGTTTCATTAAATTGATGTACTATTATCACTAATTATAGATTAAATTTTAACCATTTCTACGAATAATTAGGGCGTTAATGTGTTTTGCATTGTTTCGCCAAATAGTTAATTATTCCGAGCAATAAATGTGAAAATAAATTAAACTATGCATCTCTTTATAAACGAAATGAAAATCGTGCACTAAATTCAAACTCCTTGACTTTATTTCAGTAGAGTTTGAATCTGGGACTTTCATTTTGATTTAAAAAATTCTTTACAATGAACAACAATTTTTGAAATCTTGAAAACTACGTTTTTGAAATTTTAAATTTCTTGAATTAAATTGAATTGAAATTAAATTACATTAAATTGAATTAAAATCAGAAAAAGTATTTTCGTCTCAAAATTTGAAAAGTGTCAAATGGACTTTGCATGTAATGATTCTTTTTGAAATTTAAAATTTCTTGAATTAAATTAAATTACATTAAATTGAACAATTAAATTTTCATTTAAATCGGAAAAAATATTTTCGTCTCAAAATTTCAAAATTGGACAGATTATTTTTGAAATTTGAAATTTCTTGAATTAGATTTAATTAAATTGAAGTAAAATTAAATTACATTAAATTGAATTAAAATCAGAAAAAATATTTTCATCTCAAAATTTGAAAATTGTCAGATAGACTTTGCGTGTAATGATTATTTTTGAAATTTTAAATTTCTTGAATTAAATTGAATTGATTTGAAATCAAATTACATTAAATTCAATTAAAATCAGAAAAAATATTTTCGTCTCAGAATCTGAAAATTGTCGGATGGACAGATTATTTTTGAAATTTGAAATTTCTTGAATTAAATTGAATTGATTTGAAATTAAATTACATTAAATTGAATTGAAATCAGAAAAAATATTTTCGTCTCAAAATTTAAAAATTGTCAGATGGACTTTCCGTGTAATGATTATTATTTTTGAAATTTTAAATTTCTTGAATTGAAATTATATTAAATTGAATTGAATTAAAATCAGAAAAAATATTTTCGTCTAAAAATTTTAAAATTGTCAGTTGACTAACTTATTATTTGAAATTTCTTGAATTAAATTGAATTGAAATTAATTTACATTTAATTGAATCAAAATCAGAAAAAATATTTTCGTCTTAAAATTTTAAAATTGTCAGATGGACTTTGCGTGTAATAATTATTTTTGAAATTTCAAATTTCTTGAATTAAATTGAATTGAATTAAAATCAGAAAAAATATTTTCGCCTCAAAATTTGAAAAATTGTCGGATGGACTTTGCGTGTAATGATTATTCCGTGGAACAAAAAAAAAATGTTGGGGGAGAATTTTTTTTTCCCAAATGGAGCGTTAAAGTTAATTTCTCTTTTTTTCGTCCATATAGATAGTAGCAGACCGTTGCGACGAGTTTATCGATTTCGTACCCTGGGCGTGAGGATGGGCTTTAGGTGACTCGTTGGCGCGCCGTGACCAACCGGAAACCAAGGGCTGATGATTCGATTTGCGTTGATCGAGGGGCTGCCCGGTAACGAGGACGCGGCCGCAACAGCAGCATTGGGTGAGGCGCAGGCCATCGGATGATTCAAGAAATTCCCGGTCGACGAGACACTCATGTTGCCACCGCCACCGCCGCCTCCTCCACCTCCATTTCCATTGCCTCCAGGCAACGTTCCTGATCCTGATCCTGTAACCGCTCCAGTTGTTTGCAAAATGCTCTGTCTCGATAGCTCGCGGCTCTGCTCGCGCATCGCTTTCCGCAGTCTGGCCTCCTTTGGGTTATAGACGTAATCTGTAATCAATTAGCGCAGCTTTTGACCAATCGATAATCGATCCCTTTTCATACTGTGAGCTTGCAATGCTCTATATCACTTGCAATGACACGTGCAGTGTCACTATTGTGCACTCGAAAGGCAAAAGCACTTTCTTTTCGATATTTTGCATCGAAAAAATAGGCAAAAATTTACGTAACAATTATTTTTTATTCTAATTCATACCAATATTTTTAATTATAACAATAAAGCACTTCAAATTAAACTCTTATGAAAAGGTAAAAAATTAAAACTGAAAATTTCAAATGTTGAAAAATTGAAATTTTAAGAAACTTAAAATTTTAATTTATAAATTTGAAAATTAGGAAATTAAAATTTAAAATTTTAAATATTAAAAATTTTCAAGTTGAAAAGTTAAAAGTGAAAAAATTTGGAATTAAAAATTTGAAATGATGATTAATAAAATTGAAAAAGAGAGAAACGTTAGAAAATTAGAAATGTTTAAAAATTGGAATTGAAAATTTGAAACGTTAAAAAATCAAAACTGGAAAATTGAAACGTTAAACAAATTTAAATTGAAAATTTAGAATGTTACGAAATTCTAATTGAAAAAATGATAAGTTAGGAAACTAAAATTGAAAATTTAAATTTTTTTGAATTTAAATTTTTTAACAATTTTAATTTAGATTTTTAATTTAGAAAATTAAATTAAAAAATTTGAAATATTATAAATTTTTAAATTGAAAAATTGAATATAAAAAATTAAAATTGAACATTTGTAATGTTGACAATTAAAATTGATAAAGAGAGAAACGTTAGAAAATTGAAAGTTGAAAATTAGAAATGTTTAAAAATTGGAATTGAAAATTTGAAACGTTAAAAAATCAAAACTGGAAAATTGAAAAGTTAAAAAAATTAAAATTGAAAATTTAGAATGTTACAAAATTTAAAAAAAAAAAAAATTTCATAACAAGGTTGCCACAAAAATTTAATTTTTTCTTTCCCTGAATTTTCCCTGATTTACAGACAGAATCACGACTTTTTCCCTGACTCTAAAAAATATTCTGATTCACTCCAAAAATGATTAGAGACTCAAAAAAATTTTCTATTACATTTATTTGCAATTTTTTTTAAGTGTCAAATTATTCAAAAACATCAATAACTTCTTTTTAAAATAAATATTTAATCATTATTATTTTTTCATGGGGAGTAAGATTTTAAAAATTTCTAATTCAAACCTTTTGAAATACAATAAAAAATAATAAATAAAGAAATAAAATAAATAAATAAAACTCATAAGAATATTTTTACTGTAACTTCTTCAAAATTATTTTTATCGTTTCATTTCAATTATTATTTTCTAGAATTTGTAATTAAAATTCTTCTCAAACTCAATTAATTTTAATAATTAAATAAGTAATAATTAAATATATAGGTATTAAAAAAATTCAATTTCAAAATAATTGCAAGTAAAATTTTTCAAAAAATTAGTTCTACAGAATTGTTAAATTAAAAGTATTAAAAATTCTGATTTTCAAAGATTTTAATTTGAAACCTTTTCAAAATTCAATTATTTCTAAAAATTGCAAGTATTTGTAACTTCTCCAAAATTCAATTATTTTTTAGAAGTTTTTAACTAAAATTATTCTCTAAATCTATTATTTTTAATAATTATTTAAATATTGTGTGTTGAATGTGTTAAAAAATTCAACTAATTTCAAAAGAATTTGAATTAAAATTATTCAAAAAACTATGTTTTCTAAAATTTCGAATTAATTTCATTCAAAATTCAAATTTTTCAAAATTTTAAATTAAAACCTTTTGAAATTCAATTATGTATAAAAGTTGTAAACCCAACTCATAAAATTAAATTATTTTTATTTTTATTTTTCTTACAAATTGGTAGATTTTAAAATACGTAAATTTGTAGAAAATATGTTTTTGAATCCACAAAAAAATTTCCAAATGAAAAAATTGACTTTTATAATAAATTTTTAAAGCATTTTTTAGAAAAATAAATTTTTTTAGGCTAAAAATGCTAAAAAGTTCAATTTTTATTTAATTATTGTATTTGAAAATTCATTTGTTCATTTTTCTAAATAATTTCAAATCATAATTTTTATACATGGAAAATAAAAAATATTAAAACAATTAAGATAAAATTATGATCTGAATTTACTTACAAAAATAAACAAAAAATTAATTTTCAAACCAAAAAATTGAATAATAACTGTATTTTTTTTAGCACTTTTAGCCTAAAAGAAATGTTTTTTCAAAAAATGCTTTAAAACTTGTAAAAATCAATTTTTTTATTTGGCAATTTTTTGTGGATTCAAAAACATATTTTCTGCAAATTTACGCAGGTATTTCAAAATCCATCAATTTTTAAGAAAAATAAAAACACAAAAAGGGCTAAAATATTTTCTAACCATTGAATTCCTCTCAAAAAATTACTATAAAAATTTATTTTATAGAATATTTAAATTATTTTCCTGATATAATAAAAAGTATCAATTTACTCTCCCCTTTATGAAATAATTAGTAAATTATAAATAATTATAAATAATATAAATAACTTTCTGAATTACGAAAAAATTAATGTTCCCAAAAATTTAAACTTTTAAATAAGCGAAATTTCTTTCTTTCTTCTTCGACTTCAAATCTTGTGTCAACTTTTTTCCTCTTTACTTATTACTTATACTTGCAGATTGTTAAATTTAGGTTTTCGTTTTTTATTTCAGTCCGCGATTTTTAAGAATATTTACAGTTATTGAAAACATATTTCGTTCATTTAAACGTTCCAAATTTTTGGAGCATAGAAATTAAAAAAAGAATTATCTTTGGAGCTTCAAAATTTAGTAATTTAGTAGAAATTTTTCGAAATTGTCTTTTTTCTGTTTTTAACTCGAGGGAAGATTTTATTTGAATTCTAAATTTTAATTAGTAGGAGTTTTGAAACAAAATGAAGAGTAAACTGAATTTTGCAAAGGTTTTTTAATGAAAGAATTATATATTTTTTTTTTCTCTTTCTTTTTGATAAAATTAAAAAGGGACGCATGATTATTCACCAAATGTCATTTTTCCGAAATGTCATTTTACCGAACTGCACTTTTGCGAATAGTCATTTTTGCGAAAAGCCATTTTTGCGAAATGTCATTTTTACGAATAGTCATTTTTGCGAATAGTAATTTTTGCGAAAAGTCATTTTTACGAATTTTCATTTTTGCGAATTGTCATTTTTGCGAATCGACATTTTTACGAATTGTCACTTTTCCGAAAAGTCATTTTTGCGAATTGACATTTTTGCGAAAAATACAATAGTGAATCTATATATACTACAAGTTTACTATTGTATTTTTCGCAAAAATGACAATTCGCAAAATTGACTTTTCGGAAAAGTGACAATTCGTAAAAATGGCGATTCGCAAAAGTGACAATTCGCATAAATGACATTTCTCAAAAATGAAATTTCGCAAAAATGACAATTCGCAAAAATAGCTTTTCGTAAAAATGACAATTCGCAAAAACGACAATTCGTAAAAATTACTTTTCGCAAAAATGGCCATTCGCAAAAATGACATTTCGTAAAAATGTCGATTCGCATAAGTGACAATTCGTAAAAATGGCGATTCGTAAAAATGTCGATTCGCAAAAGTGACAATTCGTAAAAATGGCGATTCGCAAAAATGACAATTCGCAAAAATGAAAATTCGTAAAAATGACTTTTCGCAAAAATTACTATTCGCAAAAATGGCTTTTTGCAAAACTGACTATTCGTAAAAATGACATTTCGCAAAAATGGCTTTTCGCAAAAATGACTATTCGCAAAAGTGCAGTTCGGTAAAATGACATTTCGGAAAAATGACATTTGGGGAATAATCATGCGTCCCAATTAAAAATTTGAATAATTGTATATGTAGCTAATAAGCATCTGTAGATGTTTAATAAAGCATTAATAAAAAAAAAATAAATTAATTAATTAATTTTAACTGCTTTTATATGGAAAAAACTGAAGAAAACTGTCAGTTGATTACTTTGGACGGAGTAAAGTTTATTATTTCTAGGCTAAATTTTACTATTTTTGAAGTAAATTTAATAAAAAAATTAATATTTACTTTGAACGTAGTAAATTTTACCATTTCCGAAATAAATTTAATCAAACATTAATATTTTCTTTGGACGTAGTAAATTTTACTATTTTCGAAGTAAATTTGACCAAACATTATATTTACTTCGGACGTAGTAAAATTTACTCCGGAAATTGCAAAATTTGTCATAAATGACCAGAAATTCCATCTGACAGTTTAGATTCTACTTTCTAAATACTAAAAGCTACTTAACATTTTTTTTTCTTGTAGTTAATAAACTTTGACTAAGTTAGACACATAATTTCTTCACTTTTTGAATGAGAAAGTTCTCGAAATTAAATGAACTACGTTTTAATTCGCTAATTACTCATTAATAATTAGAAAACTTTTACCGTCACTCATTAATCTTCTAATTAACTAGAATCGAGAATACAAGTTTGTTTTCATATTCAAATATATAAAATAGTAAAAATTAGAATAAACTAATTTTTAATCAATAAATAACATAAAAAAAATAAATAAATAACATAAATAAAAAAATAAATTAAATGAAATAAATAAAAACAAACAGTAGTTTATTACCAAAGAAATTTAATTCAAATTTTCTATTAATTTATTTAATTTAATATTTATTATGTTAATTAATTTTTTATTTACTTTTAAATTTCTTCCATTCAATTTCCATATTTTTTTCCATTAAATTGAAAAAATTTCAGAACATTTTTTAATTACTTAATTAAATTGTCTAAATATGTTAAAAATGTATCAATTATAGGGGTTAAAATATAAATTATCTGTATATATAAAATTCTTATAGAAAGAGAAAATTTCTACGTTTAGCCTCTATAATATAAACATGCGTGTCTGATCATAAGTACAGTTAAAATGCGTCTGATCAAATATAAACCATTATCACTGATTAATAAGCAGAT